TCTGATCGCAACTTTTTTATCTCCTTTAAAACCTCTGAACAGGTGATTGGTCGTAGTTGGAAGGAAGAACCGCTGTCTTCGGGAAAAGAGTCAATAAACTTGAGAAGAGCTTAAACTGGTTTTGCAGTAGCGCCAGTGACTCGCTCTGCGTAGACGCAAAGTAGACATTAAACTCGTCAGGGTCAACAGTAAGCAGTTGAAAGCCGGGATGTAGAATTCTATGTATGACTTGTCAAACTTGTTCAGGTTTCATAGACAAAAGCGCTCTTTGATAAAAGTTGCACTTGGCCTTCTTGATTTTTTATTTAAGTTCGTTCCGTTTTTCGCGGTAGGATGTCCATGTGCTTTCACTTTTATCTTTGCGTGTTACTGAAGAAGAAGAAATGATAATGACGAAAATATCACTGATGTAGAAGCAAATAATGACAACAAGAATATTACTGAATTAGAAGAAAAATGACAATGTAGAGGAAGGTCGTGATAATGAGAATATTGCTGGATTAGGATAGATTAATAAAAAAGCAATGTAATGGCGCTTCAACAAAGCTAATTGTGGTCTTAAATGAAGAGGAATACATCTTCATGAGGGTGGCTCTGCTACTGACGACGGTCCAAACTTATATTCTATTCTTGATTCTGATTCCCTTTGGATTGCTCTTTCTCTCGACCCTCTTCTTTCTGAGGGTAAACACAGTGAGAGTATTGAGTTTGTTACTGATTTGCTTTGGGCGTATCCCCAAATGGATTTTACTTACGAATCTTCTGCAACTCCTAAGATCTCGTTAAACGTGGTGGTCCAGTGCAGTGGTTGCGTCATCTTTCTTGTAATTTTTTTGGTCTCCAGAAGACACACTTTACTGATGTGAACGAGGCTAGGTCGTGGTTATCGGCGTCTGGTCTGGAGACGGTAATGGCTCCCGGTACCGAACACTGTTGGGCTAGGTCATCTTATACCATTCCTTTGGGCTGAGCTTGATGGGCGTCTCCTGATAGCTGAGTTTTCTAGAAGGGACATCACTTTTAGGATCGCATGTATCTGTGCACCCAATCATAATCCCGAAAGTGATAGATTCTTTACTTCCTATCTGGATTTTGTTGATATATCAGTCCCAACGACTTTGTGCAGTGACTTCAACGCGGTGTTTGATTGAACTAAAGGTCGTCGAGGCCCTGACCTGTCTGTTACTGTTGGCGAGAGTTTCGTCTCTTTGAAGCTGTTTTTTCGCGGGTGCTGTGCTATTGACGTCTGGCGACATTTTCATCCGAATATTCAAGTTACGTCGTGTTCCTGAGCTAGTTAAATTTAAGTTGATGCATTATTTCAGTGATTTCAAGATAGTCATCAGATTTACATAAAATTTCAAAGAGCTCATTCCATATCTTTTTCCGAAAGGTAGATTTTGGTAAGTTTCTCATATCTGAGGGGTTATGAATTCCGCTTTTTTGGTCCATCTCTTAGAATAGAACTACTCATTTTTTCAAGCCTTGAGTGTTCGGTATAGAAATCATCATTGCTAGAAGATCGGGTAGGTTGAGTGCACCTCAGAAATCCTAGTAAAGGCTCGCTTGATATTTTCAGGTGCAGAATTGTTAGCAACGTACCACATGATATTACAAAGACAATCAAAGTAAATAAAAGATAGGGTAAAGACTTTTGAATTTAAGAAAAATGGTACAGCATGTTGCTTATAATCCGTAAAGTAAATCAGGCGTAGGGCTCGTTTTTGAATTAAGAGTATCTTATTTAAATAAGAAGTTTTAGGTGCAGAACCCCAAGCACAGATGCTATAATAAAGATAGGGGTTGATAAGGGGTTTTTAAGATGTTTAAGACGAGACGTAATGGAATATTATGTCTAAGCTTTGCTAGAATTCCCACGGTTCTACTTATCTTTAAACAGATTAGATTAATATGGTTTCTCCAGGAAAGTTCGTAATCAATCAGAACACCAAGGTATTTGACAAAATCTTTCTTTTCTAGAGTACTCAATGCATCTATAGCTGGATCATAAGCTTTGATGGAGGGATTATATGTTAAACATTTCTGCCGGGGACGGAAAAGCACGTAATTAGATTTTTTGAAATTAAGGGTTAGCTTATTGGCTAAAAGCCAGTCACTGACATTACTTAGTACAGAATTGACTATCTGTTCAAGATTATGGAGGTTCTTGTTTGCATAAATAATGCGGCCTACCTAAGTATCAGTTACAAAGATTGCAGTATGTACAAAACACGGCGGCTAGAGTTGTGTTGCAAGTGAGTAAGTTTCAGCCTATCACACCTGTTTTGTACGAGCTTCACTGGCTACCGATTCAATATCGTATTATTTTGAAGATTCTGCTTCTCTTGTATAAATCACTGAATGGGACATCGCCTAGCTATTTAGCTCACAAACTGCATGATCGTTCTCATACTAGATCATTGAGGTCTGTTAGTAACGAACTTTTAACGCAACCTAGATCGTATACCAAGACCTAGGAGATAGAGCATTTGCTGTTGATGCACCAAGAGAATGGAACTTAATACCCTATAAAATTCGGAAGTCCAACACCATCTCGAGTTTTAAGAGATCACTTAAGACGTACTTGTTTACTAAATTCAGTAATAATAGATCATTATTTTTATAGATTTGTATATATTAATTGCGTTAGTTTTAATTTTTCCTTTTTTTTAAATCATTGTAAATAAAATAGGATATGGTTGTAAATTTGTAAATATTTATCAATAATGTTGTTTACATGACTGTAAAGCGCCTTGAACATAGGATAAGTGCGCTATAGAAATAAAGTTATTATTATTATTATTATTATTATTATTATTACTATTATTATTATTATTATTAATTGCTGGCACAGGACTCATCATCATCTTTATAAACTGGCACAATCTTGGCAAGTTTTAGTTTGCTGGGATGTTTACCTTGGATAACAGGTAAATTGTAAATGTTGGCAAGTGACTGGCTAATAATGTGTTTGCAGCCTTTTAGGATTTTGACAGGACAAGAGAACATGCCATAAGACTTGTAGAGGGGCAAGGCCTGAATTTGGGCACTGATATCAGTGGGAATAATGGTTCAAAGTTAAAAGAATTTGGCAAACGGTTGTTAGTGAGATATTCATTAAATGAGTGCTTAGAAGGTGGTAGTTTGGAAGCAAGGTTATGTCCAACACTAGCAAAATGCTTATTAAGCACATTTGAGATTTCACTAGGATACGTTGAGAGACTACCATCGGGTTAATTAATATTATAAATTTGGTTTACTTTTTTCTTGGAGATGGATATTAGGTTATTAATCCCTCCCCAGGTTGTCTTCATATTATTAAGATTTAGTTCGAAAAAGGAGTTAAACGAGTTAACAATGATAATTTATTACGATACAATTTGTACTCATCCCATAAACCATCGTGGTATAACTTGTTTTTCTTACTTATAGAGGTGAGAAAAACAAGGTATACCACGATGGTCTTTATTCATGCCTTTACTTGGTTAAAATCCGATGGCTCTTTATCTTCCACGATTGACTTAATTGCTTATCCGTCTCCTTGGCTTCATGTGGTATCTTCTTGCGGTATTGTACCTTGCCCTTTTTCAGATTACGATGCTTTTTCAGATTACGATGCTTGGAGGCCTCTATTCCGGGACCTGCCCTTAAAGGGGTGGGTAGGTGTAAAATTAAAGAACCTGCTTTTGTAACATCTGTTTATGAGTTTTGGATGGTTTGGAGGCTTCGCAAACCTTCGTTCCCTTCACTCCAGGATTGGGGACACCTCGGGAAGGAGCTCCAGAAGCGTCTTATGCTTGAACATTACAGTCTGGCGCACAATGATCGTTTGCTTTCTCAAAATATCTATCCTCTCTGCCCTTGCTTCTCATCTGAATGATAACATTGATGATGGTACTGCTTCTTTGCTGCCCGTCTATGAACGAGGTTTTGCTTAACTGGCAGCTTTTGGTCTCACTGGGGCTGAGGAGCGCGGGTTTGTTCTCGTGTCAAGTGAGCTGAGGAAGATGAAACGTTATTTTTTGTGATTGGGAAGAAGCGTGAAGCTGACAGCTGGATCTCTGTGATGACGACCTCAGATGGATGAACACTGAGTGACATCGATAACATATGTGAGTCCTGGGTCTCGTTTTACAGTGATCTTTTTGCGGCTTCTTCTGTTGACCTTGATGTCCAGGCTGATCTTTTTTGATCACCTTCCTGCTTATGGAGTTTTATGTTGCTTTCTCGGACTTGTTTGGAAAAGAACTTAACGATCTCTTGAATGTTTAGCTGGCTGTCTGTTAAAGGTGATATTTAAAGTTTGGGCCCCTGATCAGGAGTTCCCATGCGTTTAATTGGCGAAAATGTAGGCTTTCTACGAGATGTTGCTGAACTAGCCAATAGCGCTGAAGCGCCCTCTCGTATTCAGGAAATGCTCTTATTACTTGTGCTCTAGCTTTGTCTCGTATCTGGTATATGGCGTCTCTGATTCCAATGCCCGCGTGGGTTGTTGCTGAGCGAAACTCTCTCGTCTTCTCCTTCTTTTGGAGTGTTAATCAGGATCTTGTTGCCGGAAAGGTTAATTACCACTATCATCTTTGTGGCAGTTTCGAAGTTGTCTCCATCCAATTCTAAGTGTACGTTCTTCTGGGTCAGTGGGTCCGTCGTTATGTTAATGCCCCAAATGCTAACGACCTTTAATTTTTTTTCCGCTTTGGGTTTGACCCCTAAATTGTTTTGCCCCCCCCCCTGCATTTTCCTTACGTATTGCCTCAGGTCTCCCTCCCTTTTATTTAGCGCTCCTGTAAGCCAGGAGTGCTCTTTACGCGTCTCTGTCACCTGCTGGCCTAGTTGCCGGTTCTGCTGACACTTCTTTACTTCGTGCGGATTCTTTTTCATGTAAGTCTTGCTGCCAACTGATTTTGTCTTTGAATCCGGAAACCCCTCATTGCGTTGACAAGTCCCGTTTTGATTTTGGCAATTTAGATTGGGATGCTACCTGGAAAGCTCTTTTCTTTATGCCTCTTGAGCGGAAGGCTATCGATCTCTGCTCTTCATGGAAAGCTGCTCACGGTGTTTTGTACACCGCGCATCGGCTCGTCCTTTTTGGTCGTCTTGATGTTTCCCTTGCTTGTTTCTGTTGACATCCTATTGAGACCACAGAACGTCCTTTTTTCATTATCCTTAGGCGCAGGGTGGTCTGGTTTGTTCTTTGTTCTTTTTTGTTTTTGTCCTCTCCAATGGCCCCGTCTATTTCTGACTGTCACGTACATTTTGGTTTCAATGATGATGAGTTGTTGTGCAATCCGCGACTGTTTTGCTCTCTCTTGTCTCTACTAAAATTTTGTCTCTGGCGTCAAAGGAATGACTATCGTTTCAAGTCTAAACCTCCTAGTGCAGTTAGGCTCATTGCGAGCATTAAAGGCCGTCTCTCTTTTGACTCACCTTTGTTCTTCAAACACTACAGATCCCGGAGAGGCCGCCGCTTTTTTCAGCGTCGATGGGGTGCCAATGGGTACATTTGTAAAGTCGTTGGTGACTCTTTTCTTTGTTTTTAATTTTCATTGGCAATAAACATTGCACAATGTCTCACGAGAAGTGACAAAGGGTCTTTAGTTTTGATTTTGTCAAGGTGGTTTTCAGTGGGTCGCTCAAGTTATTTTTATTTTTGAAGTAAATAACTGACATTTATTAACAGCAGCCTTCCTTTTATCCCTAGCAAATTCTGTATTATTACTTTACATCATGCATAACATCTGACATTAAACAGTGATGGTAGGTTAGCAACAAACAAATCTTACAGGTGTAGATCATGATCACCTCATTGTGTACCCTCCTTTTTTAGGTCAGATCCAGTTCATTTCACCCTATGGAGGCATGAATATTACGGCATTTGTAGGAGGTTCAGTGCAGTTCACCTGGAGGTACTCTGGGGGTGCCAGCGGTATTAACAGTGTTGTATGCGGTCTTAAGAAAGATATCACAGAAGACATCCGACCTGATGGAGTTCTTTTATTTGTAAATACTAAGACAGGACAGGGCCAGCTGCATGGTAATCTTCCTGTAAGGTACAATGGACGTGTAAGTTGGACTTTGAGTGGTGATCAGTCTTCTGGACAGCTTAATTTTACACTAACTTCATTAAAAAATGATGACGACAGATTTTACAGCTGCATATTATCTCCAGTCAATAATTTTGAAGGTGAAGTATTCGACTTTGTATATCTCGTTGTTCAAGGTGAGTTGCCCTTGTATATACAGGTCACCATTATGTAACATTCTTAGGTAAAGAGTATCTTAGAAAGAAGCGATTTTGAAGACTATTTCCCTATTATATAAAACTGCAGTATGCCCTTTCATCTACAACAGAGGCTTTTGAGAGTGAATGACAGTAAAAATCCCAAAGCCCAAATCTAAATATTACTGCAAGAATGAATTGATCGATATCAGAGATTTTGTTGAAGCCATTCAAAGAACTTGCAACTGTATTATCAGGGGTAAGAACTCTCGGCTTTGCCTCAAGTTTTTAAACCTGATAATAAATTAAGAAAGCCTGGTTATCTACGGTATTCGTGTTTTTCCTTTGAACCAGGTAAACCAGGGTTTAAATTATTTCTTAATAAAGTGTAAATCAGGCCATTAATGAAAAACAAAAAAAATGTGTCATTGATCAATGATCAATCAATCTTATTTTGGGCTACTGTTGTTGCCTCAGTCGTTGTTGTTTCTTTTTCTTGTTTTAGCACACTTATTAAGAAAAAAGCGCAGTAGGTTTCGTATATTTCCAGCATTCAATACTTGAATGCGTCAGTGGCTTCTCGACAGTCAGTTAAGTAACAATTGATGAACATTGAGTGCAGACATATTTTATCCAGTGAACTAAACTGGAAATGAGCCTGATGAACCTATTTCAGGTTTCCAGTTTTTTCAGGGAATCCCTTTACAGAACTCGCTGTCATGAAGATATGTAGATTTGCTAAGTGTTAAGTCACTAATTTCAAGGGTGACATTCTCTTTTTAAGAGGAGGAGGGTGTAAGAAATGCCTTTGTTTAGTCCTCGAGATATAGTTGTTGCGTAATTTAGTGCCAGGCATCATACACGAATAAGACTGGAAACCCTGTATTACGTTGTTTAAAGTAACAAAAACGTGTGCTTGGCGAGCGGCAAGAAGTGAGCGATGTGAGAGAAACGTAAAACGGATCTAATCTGTATGCCCTTAAATAAAGCGACCCTTGTGTTTGTTTAGTGTTACAGTTACATAATTATTATTGGCGGAATTGGGAAATTGACACAATGGTTTAGTAGGGTGTAGAAGTGACAAACTGAATATGTGTCCATATTTCAAATATCCTGGCTCTAGATCAGGTTCCGTGCTTTTAATAAACCTCTGGAATCCAGGGTATATTTTAAAAAGAAGAATATCACAACAATAATCAAGGCCTCTCGCTCTGCAGATCAATATTCTTTCTTTAAAGTAAGGCGAACTTTGTACCTCAAAAACTTTGCATCGACACGAAAACTGTACCAGATAGGGCTTTTGTTCACATATAATAACGTTGTTTACGGCGCGATTTCTGTAACCGAGCGAAGCTGCGCCGCGCGCCGATCTTGAAAGTGGATCGTCACTTATCGGATAGGTTCCTACCACTATTCATCGCAGTGTGAATAGCTAATCGCTAATAACTCGAAAGGTTGGAGGTTTGAAAATGGGGATTCCGTTCTACTATTCTCGGAGTTATCCACGTATTTACAAACATTGTTAAATAGTCCGTGAATATATCTTTTTAGGTCCGCCAAATATAACTGACATATCGCCCAACACAACAGTTAAAGAAGGGGATACAGTTGTCCTGACTTGTGCCGCGCGAGGTAATCCCCCAGCAAGCATAACGTGGACTAAAGATAAGCGTGTTGTCAACGTTCCGATAAGAAATATCAGCAGAGAGGCGGCTGGGTCATATCGATGCACGGCTGTAAATGGTGTGGGCAGTCCAGCCACATCTGATGTCCTCATTACTGTACAATGTGAGTGTTTTTGTTGCAATTTAGTTTACTATTTCTTCATTCTATAAAAAAGGGATCTTTAGTTTTTAAAGCACTATAAATTGCCCCATACCTTGCTCTTAAGTAAATGATTTATTCGTTGACATTTTTGAAGTGTCGTTCTGTAGTTTTCGCTCAAACTCCTACTACATGTAAGTCTATATATTGTAGTCCATGTTCATCGGTGTCAACTGTTTTGCAGTGCTTCAAGTTGAAGATAAGTATTTCACGCGAGAAATGAAGCGAGCTTACGGGGAGTTGGCTGTCGTTCCATTTCTCTTTTTCTCACTGTTAAAAAGCCTCTGAACATATCATTTTAGGCGATTTTCTTCTTAATGTAAGGTTCACTTAAGCGCTAATTCCGTAAAAAAAGTATCTAGCAGTAGGTAAATCATGAGAGGACACAGAGGCTTTTTACTGGAAGTACAATCCCACGCAGGAATGTTTTCTCCGCGGGCAGCTAATCCGACTTAATCCCATTTAATATGTCGCGCTGCTCGAAAGCGCGAAAAGTTTCTTGGCGTGTATTAGATTTCAGATACCTCTTCATTTCGCGCCCGAATAAATAAGTTTGCGCGCAAAGGGCTTCTAAAAAAATCACAAGGTTTGTCCCACTTCGAGTCCACCTTCTGGGGATACGCCGGCTTGGTAGCTGAAATACATTGCCGAGGCGAAGATCTGGTATTTTTTCCTCCTCGTCGTATTTTCTCCACGACAAATGTTTATATTTGTAGTGAGAATACAGCGCATATCGGTGGATTTTACTTCATGCGGCTTGCTACTTCTGAACTAGAAGAGTGCCGGATTTCATCGTTTTGTTCATGTTTCCTCGTGTTGGCAAATGTAAGGTAAATGAACCGACAACTGTAAGGATTCTTAACTTCAAAATTTAAACAATGAGCCGCTTTTTAGCACCTTAACCTTAAGCACTTTGGGCACTCATAATGGAGACAATGGATTACAGTACGCTAGACTCCTCGCTTTTTCGATGCGTAACACGGATGCAAGCGAGATAATGCAAAGTGAAGTATAATTTACTTTACGAAACCATTTGACGAACACCTCTTGTTATATGCTTTATTTGCTTGGCTCATTCAGGCTAATGACATGCCGGGAGTTTGATGACAATGTATGTGTGTGCTATAATTATGCTGATAACTTTTTGCACCTTTATATTGAAACTCATGTAAGCCAAACTTCTTAACTCTAGCAAAAAATTCTTTTATTATGGAGGACCTTTTAACGTCTTTCGGGGCCCAATATGGTGTCAATTTTTTTTGGGAAACAAAGCTTGATTTTTGGCGAAACATACTACACCTTTTCTTTCTCTGAAGAGAGCGTGAGGCAAACGTCCGCGAGTACAGTGTAAGCCAGTGATTCTTTAGGTAGAGCTAACAAACATAGGCTGCAGTTTAGGTGGCACACCCATGAGTGCAGTGTAACCCAGTGATTCTTTAGGTAGAGCTAACAAACATAGGCTGCACTTTAGGTGGCACACCCATGGGTGCAGTGTAACCCAGTGATTCTTTACGTAGAGCTAACAAACATAGGCTGCACTTTAGGTGGCACACCCATGAGTGCAGTGTAACCCAGTGATTCTTGAGGTATAGCTAACAAACATAGGCTGCACTTTAGGTGGCACACCCATGGGTGCAGTGTAACCCAGTGATTCTTTAGGCAGAGCTTACAAACATAGACTATACAGGTGTACATCAGATTTTCGTGTTATTACCGAATGATAAGTGAGGGTCGTCTTAAAGTTTCGTAGACTTTGCTTGATCAATGCGCCTCTAAATATCTTCTGTTCAGGATTAAGTTGTTTATATACAGCTGAAAGTATAGCCTGTTCCAGGCGTTCAGATAATAGAGCGCGTCAGTAAGTGGGGGGCGAGTTAAGTTCAAGTACACCGGGAAAACGGGGGGGGGGGGGGGAGAGGGCGAGAGATTTTTTTCTCCCCGGTAAAAATTGTCATTAAATCCAGTAATGGAACCCGGTTCGCCCTCTTTTTGGTTGATTATGAAACCTTTTCACCCAGCACCACGGGGGATATTGATGAAGAGGGAGAAATTGGGGGAGAGAGAAACCTGTTATCGAATCACATGCGGAGTGGGTGTTTGGTTTAGGTTTTCTAGTGTTTGTTTGTCAAATCTTCGTTAATTTATGTTTTGTTTGTAATTAAGGTTGTTGAAGACGGAAGTAGTGGGATGATCGGACGGGGGGTAGGAGGGGGGTGGGGTGGGGGGGGGGGGGGGGGGGAGAAGTTGAAAGACCCGGGGGAGAGGGGGGGGGGGGGGAGAGAGCGAGAGATTTTTCTCTCGCCTGTAAACATTGTCATTAAATCCAGTAATGGAATCCGGTATGCCCTCTTATTGGTCGATTATGACACCTTTTACCACTCGAGCACTGGTGACATTGATGAGGAATGCGATATTGAGGGAGAGAGACATCTGTTATCGAATCACGCGGACATCGACGCTACTATAAATAATGCAATCGAGCATTTCCTGTATGAGGAATCTTTTCGTGAGGAGCAGAAAATTTACTTGAAACTCATTCGCAGAGGCCAGGACGTTTTTCGTGATTCTTCCAACGGGCTCCGGGAGACCTTCATTTTTCTGCTCTTTCCACGAATAATAAACGTAATCAAAGGAAAAGTTGGCGAGTCAATTTCCACGATCATCATCGTTGCGCCTCTCGTTGCCATAATGAAACCAAGCTCGAGCGACTTGGAATAACAGCAACAACAGCCATAGTTTGGGGGCGGGAGGAAGGCATGGAGGAAGACATGGCAATGTCAAAGGAAGGTGTGCGTGTGAGATCATTTATGGAAGCCCAGCAAGGCAAAAAAAAAAATCTTATTTGAAGGGTTATTTAGCCGCAATAAAAAGATTACTGCTCTAACAGAGGTCAAAGAAAATCAGTACTTAACTGCATCTGGAATCAAATTCTTTCAGAAACAAACCACAGGAAATAATTGCCCAGTATGCATGACTGACGTCTAAATGTTAGACTTAGAGCGACAGAAATTAGATTTGCTTAGTTAAAAGAAGGAAAACGTCTGACGTTTATTGAAAGCTAACTCAAAGGTCACGTTTCACACTATCACGAGCTTATGGGTCGCCTCTAGCCTGTCAACACTTCGTAGTTCAAGTCACAGTTACGCAGTTAGCCTGTGCCAGGCTCTCAGATAGTGTAGTGCGGACATATTAAAACAAGAAAAGCTAAAATAAGACGGGCGCGGCTTGGGAAAGGGGGAGGTGGCGGCGAGAAAAAAGGGGAGAGAGAGTCTGTTAGCTTTCTTTAACGACCCTCTTCCGCCCATTTTTGTCACATCTGGATTCGGCTGTCAAAACTGTTAACACTTCAGTTAGCTACAATCATTCTCAAGTTTCTCGCGCGAGCATTTCGAGTGACGCGAACTCCTTGTGCGAATGTGCGGAATTTATGTCTTCGAATTCGTCATCCTGTGAGAGCATGCTGTTTTTTCGGCTCTAGTTTCTTGTTTCACCCGCCGAAGCGACGACCAGAAATACATCTGCTGTTCGCAGGCTACGAGTTCGTCAATGGCGTCTGCGAATCTCGCACTCGATCATTCAAAGTGGTGCAGGTTTTATAGTAATAAAAGGGGGCAGTAAGTTTTTCCCTCTGTTGGGTAGGTTATGCTCTGAAAGGTTCTGCGTTTTCACTGAGCAATTGTGATTTTAGCCGCTTGTTTCACACTGAGAGGTCATGGCACACATATCGATTTACAATGGCTTTTGTATCTGGTCAGCAGGATTTGCCCTCTGCTGAGAGAGCTTTTTCTTTGACCTCTTTTGAACGTAAAGCTTTTTATTGCGGCTGAATAAGGGTCTTAATTTTCTCCAAAGTGCCTTCTGGCTCTGACTAACAAAGTGATTTTCTTTAGTCTGTGAATGTAATGTTTTTCTGCAATGTTATATCACGCTGGGCCAAGCTAGTTAGTTTTCTTTGCAGAATGTTAAATTATCAAGGATAGTGATTTACAGATCCAGAATTATAAGAATGAAGTGCAGCTTAAACTTAAGCTACATCAACTAAGGAGAATTGCCTTGTGACTCAGTAAACTCCACCTTAGTGTTTCTCTTTTAATAGTGTGAGTCTTCTGACTGGAGCGCGTAGTTTCTCCCTTGGTAATAGCTTTTTAAAGCTTAGCCGTCTTTGGACAGTTTTGTTATTACCACTTTGTGATCAGCCAGGACTCTGGACTACCGAAAACAATCTCGCACTTTCCTTCTCTCCCTTTCTTCTCGTCCTCCTCTACCTCTTCACCGATGCCAATAGCTGCGGCCGAAAGTCCAAGCTTTTTAAATTCAGTGTTCCACTTGGTCTTATTATTATAGCGGAGCTCCGGCGCGCGAAGCGCGCCAGCGAAGCACCATGGGTAAGAAAATTTGGTAAACCATCCATCCGAGAAAATTTGGTTATAACGTAGCGTACGCCCGTACTCTCTTTGCGGGGGAGGGAAGGGAATCAGGTGACAGCCCGTCAGGGGGAGGAGTATGTTATAAATCGTGCGATGCATTTGTGCAACCCGCCTTTTTCTTGGCGGGAAATCGTGCAAGAAATGGCGTGGCTTGTTCACCTCAACTACTTCATTGCATAAGAATTTTGTGACCGTAGTGCTCAGTTTCTAGTAAACTGTTTTTGTTATGGCAACAAACAATAGCGGATTTAATTCAAACTATTTGCTTGTAAGTGAAGAGCGACGGGAAAAAGAAATAAGAGGAGGGCATAGAGTAAGAATTAACAGGCTCGCTAGCGAAGAGGATTCAAGTGGAAGATTTAAGCAGCGTCTGCAACTTGTTCACTGAAAGCTGAAGCTGACAGAGTTTGAGTCATCTTGTGATGTCTTTTTGCACTGGATCTACAAAATGAAATACAGCAGCTATCACATTCTTTTGTTATTCTTGGCTCGCTTGTTTACTAGGTTGTGGTTGCGAAACGCTCCGCACGACAAAAAGAAATCGGGAATCATCGTTTTCAAAAACAAGCTACTCTTAGTAAGCTTACTTCGCCTTGCTGGACTATGCGAAAAGTCTTAAGCGACTCTGGCCTTACTTGATGAGTTTGCGTGCTGCATCCCGACCGGTAAGCTTGAGTAATTTTATTGCATTTTATGGGTTTTCTTTTTTCATGCTTATGCCGTCATTTTACGCACATCTGTAAGATTTGAGACAATTTATCTGACCTAGTAAAGAACTTAAAAAGTCTTTAGACATTTTCTGACCGCGACTAGAAGAAAAAGTTCCGAAAAATAGTTTAGTTATCCTATTGTTTGTAAAAAGAAAGCTTTGAGTGATTTTCTTTCATCTTGCAAAATAGCAAACACGGCGACGGAAGGCGGCTTAAAACTTATGGCTCAAATCTGCAAGGTTTTTATTCGTGACTCAGGATTTTCAGAGACACTTTACTCTCAAAACACTTCTTCGGGAATAAAAATTGTTGACCTTTAAATGTTTCTTCGTATTATATTTATTGTCTTGATTGTTTGTCAAGATCGCGTTCTTACATGATCGCTTTGCCAGTTGTTGTTTTCAGTCGTCCGTGAGGTCCGTCCGTGAACACCGCATGCAAGAGTACTTAAAATGCCGCGTGTATCAAATGAATATGGCATTTAGGAAGTAAAATGCAAACGAAAATGATTCGGAGACCTCTTCTCTGATTCAAATACTCGACAGCTCTCGTTATAAGTTTTGGCGCTTGGCAAAATTCAGAATTGGATGATCGGACGGTTGATTTTGTGAGCTGAATTAAAATATATTTTTTTCGAAAGTTTTTTCTCAAAGCCCGTTATTACCCCGCATACTACATAATAGCAGATTTGCCTGACTGAACAGTCCCGTCTAATGGTGAATTCCCTATATAAAAGCGGTTTATGGTGCTGTTATTTTTATAATTTGTTGTGGAAGGGAAGCGTGTGTTTCGATCATCCTGAATACTGTACTGAATGAGTGCAATTTGTCTTGTAACGAGTAAATTGGCAGCCCCAGGGACTATCGTGTCTTTACGGCCTGTATAGCAGAAAATTATAAAATAAAGGTGGTATAGGTGGGCACAAGGTGAAGGTGAATTTGCTTGGGAAGAATTTGTTTTTCACGCCTAATCTACTGTGGCCAAAGGTGATTTCTATTTATTAGGTGTACAAATGAGACTATTAAGCCGATGTAAGATTTTAGAGGTTGCTTCATTTTTGCACTGTTTCCAAATCATTTTTTCTCTTAACTCACCCAGCCCCACCCTTAAACGTCATCTGGATCTCCCAGTTCACCGATTTTTGGATTACAAGTTTATCGTTTGATTTTATATTATAAATTAATTACTAGAGCTACGCTTTTAGCCCTGGCTAAATCTATATATTAGATATCAGCGGCGAAATGACTATTATCGTAGAGTTTTCTAAGGTTAGAGCAGCTTTAGCCAAGCGTGGGAATAGCTGAAAGATTATACTTTTGCCGAAACCGGTGGGCATAATAGCAAAAACATCTTTACCGCGAGCCAAGTCGCAGACACTCGTCTAGCCTGAGATCATGCCAAAAAAAAATAACAACGCCTGATCTCAGGTTAACACTCGTCCAAAGCACAAGACAACGCGGATTTATCAAGATCACACGCACGATTCGCGTTGGCCATCTTGGTGATGACAAACTGATGACCACGCTACTAGGTGATGATGTTAACTGTCACAATTGACCAATCAGAGGGTATATCAGGAGCTGATATATACAGGAACAGGCCGTTAAAAAAATGCGTACAGGCTCCGCCGCCCTGTCTCTCCCCAGCCCCCGGCGTTTTTCGCATTTCTTTTTACTGAACGACTTTTGACCACTATCTCGGAGCCTGGAACAGGCTATTACGCAGTCGGCGGTCAATTGAGGGCGGAAAGAGCCCGGCCCTGTAAGGGAATGTTTACATTCGTTCTCTCCCCCTTTCCTCCTCTACTCTCCCCTCGTTTCTATTTTCTTCGTGAATTTTTCTCCCCCGCTCTACTATCTGAACGCCTGGAACAGGCTTCTGAAAGTAAGTCTCAAATTTTATATGAATTGTCGCCTTATCTTTTTGATAAACAGATTGAGAAACTAATTGTGCAATATAACTTTATTTGCAATTACATGTAATGAGATAAGAGCCAATGTCGGAAAATATCGAGAATCTCAAATAAGTTTTCACCATTCGATTTTTGTCTAATACCACCCAAACAACCCTTTAAGTGAACTATTTCAAGAAATGGTATTAAGAAATCCTCAAGCGCTTTACATTTTGAGAAATTTGGAAAAGTTAAAAAATTCGATAAAATACCTTCAGTTTTATTCGCGAAATTGCTGCAAACTTTGGCAATTTTCAAGAAAGCAGTACAAGCGCGCAAAAGCCCCTATTGACTTGATCTTGCACAGGCATTTACCAGTTATGCAACGTTTTAAGACTGCATAAAAATGTCTCGCAAAATAACTTAATTTTGTAATATACTTTTGGGCTTTCATTGTTTGCACCTTGATAGTGTGCTGTTTATGGCGCTCGAAATAACGCCCAACTTTAACCGCAAAAAGTCGATTCTGGTATGTCTCAAATTTAAAATATGATTAAACTATATGAAAGAACTGTGATTTTTTTACCTATACCTGAAGTTTCAGCTCTGCGAATTTAAACGCTTGCGAAAAATAAAATTTTAAAAATAGCCCCTCGGGCCACCGTAAGTGACAAGAACGTGAAATGTAAACAAAGCAGAAACCGTGTAAAGAAAGGAGAAAATCACACCAAAGTTATTTCTAGGCAACCAAAGCGCAAGGAAATGATGGAAATTTCGGTATCTAAATAGGTATCGCTATCTAAAAAGGCAAAAATGTGAAATTGTCCTTTGAAAAATATAAAAAGAAAAAAATCCTAAAAAACGAACAACTGACAATTGCGTCGGGTGACCATTTAATTCTGGACTCGGAAGTAAAAATGCTTCTGTCTGGTCAAGTCTAAAAGGCTTCAAGAACTGTTTTCGAAATGCCCAAATAAACTATCGACAAACTATGCCAGGTGATAGATATATTTTAATAATCAAAGAGTCCTAGGAGCGAGCTCATGGATGAATTGAATTAGTGTAGAAAAGACAGTTCAATAATCAAAGAAAAACATATAAATCTTTTTTAACGGTTCATTGTGTATGGACTTGCCAAAATACAGCGTGACTTGAAGTATCCGACTGCATGTGCACCTGAATATTCTAGAAACTTTTTATCAGCGCAGCATTTCTACTTACGAAGCAAAGGTCACTTTTAAAAGCAATTATTAACGCTTTTAAGTTGTAAAATAATTTGCTTTCTCATGTGACTGTCAAACACTTTCCGAACGACAGTGCACTTTCTTGTAAAATAGCCAATTTTTACATACACGAGTTTTATTTAAACCGTGGTTTTAAAAGTACGATGCTTTCAAATAAATGTTTCCATATGATGAGTACGTAACGGGTAGTATATGCAGTACGAGCTATATTAAATACAGAATACAGGCGTTTATGGCTAAATTGAACTGCTTTAGAACGCGCTTTTGATAAACACCACTATGCCACTAAATTACCAGTGCTCTTGTTTCACTTGGAGAAATTGCGTTTTTGTGGCGTAGCTTGTAGCACGTGTGCGGGGCCCCATAGCTAAGGTAATCTACCCATTCCAGAAAAATTGGTAATCACGTAACCGACCGACCGACCGACCGTCCGTCCTCACCACAGGCATACCAATGTTCACTCTTACGCTTTCCAGCTACTTTGGGAGCCCAGGAGGAAGCTGATTGCACATCAATGTTGTCATCAATTGACAGCTGTCAAAACACGGTATCCGCTGACCAGTATCACCTGACCGTATCGCGGGCTCAGGTGTCGACCCATCAAGGTCGAGTATTTTTTGAAGTTATCCGCTGAAAATTTATTCGTTTTCAAAAGATCGAGGCTCACGTTTACTTTTTTAAATTCATATCAAATATGTTGTGTTTATGTCAGTATCTCCCCGCACTATTACGATTTTAATTTCAAACTGACCTCAGACGCAAAAATTTAGCCCGTTTTTTTTAAAATACAGGCGGGGAAGACCTTTTCTTATCATGGTCACGTGTTGGTCACGCTCCACGTCCAGTTTTTATGCTCTGATTAGTTAAAATTTGACAGGTGAATTCATGCGTAAAATTTATGCAGCATCTTGATAGTTGTTTACTTTGACAGCTGAAGCTGACAGAGTTTTGAGTCAACTTGTGATGTTTTTAACTGTCTCTTTCCACTGGTGTACAAAATGAAATACAGCTGCTATCAAGAGTGTTCTCTTATTCATGGCTGGTTTGTTTATTGGGTTTTTGGTTGAGAAATGCGTCGCTTGTCAAAGCCGATAATCCGATTTCGGATGGCATCGTTTTTGTTTTTCACCTTGCTGAATGCGTGCGAGCATTATAAAGTCTCAAGCGATCCTTGCCTTACTTGACATCTTTCAGCAGCTGCATCTCGAAATATGGTAAGCCTGAGTAATTGTTGTATTTATATCTAATTTCATGAAGTCCAGCGGCGCAGTTTATGAAGCTAGTTTATGCACATTTGTATTAAGATTTGACTGAGACAGTGATCTGACCTAGTATGAGGTTTGATATAAGCTTAACCTTACAGAACTTTAAAAAGCCTTTAGTCGATATTAATTCACCGTAAATAGAAAGAAAAGACTTTCCGAAGAATATTTAGTTATAATTTTGGCTGTAGAAAGAAAGCTTTGAGCGATTTTCTTGTCCTGAATTCATCTTTGAAAACAGCAAACAGGCCCGGGAAACCGGCGGCTTAAAACATAAACTTAATCTTTAAGCTTACTAGTAAAGACTTGAGGATTCTTAGAGACACTTAAATACTCATTTGTTTTCGTGAATGAAAATTGTTGTCTCTGTAAATGTTCTACCGAATTATATTTCTTTATTGATTGTTGGTAGTCTCAAAAGTGTAATTTTCATCGCTTTGCCGTTTGTTTTCAGCCGTTCATAAACATCCCCTGCAGGAGTACTCAAAATGCCGAGTGTATCAAACGCTTTTTAAGGTTACACATCGTTATGAAACCATAAATAAAAAATAGACTCAATAAATTCTAAAATTTCTTCGCAAATTTGGCGCTTGTCAAAAGTTAGAACCGGCTGGCCGTATAGGTGATTTTGGAAATTTTTTGAACGGTTTCGCTAATTAAAAGTCCACGCGTGTTTCGATGGTCCTGAATATTGAATGAATGCAATTTATCTTGAAAAATTGTGAAATACTGCATTTTGTACGAGATCTGTATGATAAAAACAGCGCCTCATAGTACTCTTTCTCCTCAGATGTGGTGTTTAAAAAAATAAATAAAAGTTAGTTTGCACGCACCCAGATTTATTGGCAAGAATTTGTAAGCTTGTCGATCGGAAAAATTGGGCCTGATTTGTTTTCCACGCCTTATCTACTGTTATCAAGAGCCATAATTGCTCTTAAATTTGACCGTACACCTTTTTGGGTGTACATATAAGGCTATATCAACTCGATACAAGATTTGTTTCACTCCAAAATCACTTAACTTTTCAATGGGAGCTTCGCTTTTGGCCGTGGCTAAATCTGTATATTATGGATGTAGCCTGCAAGCAAGTTCTCCCTTTGGAGGAGTCGCGAGAAGCCACACGAGAGCAGCACACAAAAGAACACGCAAGTGTAAGTGGCGGGGAAAGAGAGGAAGAATTTTCTTCCTTGTACAGTATAGATATTCCCAATTTCTTTTAGCGCCGTGGTTCGAAAAGTGCAGCAAAAATCCATGACGGGTCAGCCAGGAGCTCGAGTGTCATCGATTATAATTGATTGTGTGTGAGTTATTCTTCTGCCAATGGCATTTCGCTTCGTCTAAGTGAAGCAAAATGAAAATTTATAAGGTGTCGTTACAAGCCCTTCCTTTTATCTACCAGTAAGGGTTTTTGCTACTTCATTCTGCTTTCTCAGCTTCTGGATCCTTTCGGTAGACATAAATGGAGAGATTGCTGGCAGGCTCAGGTATGGTTGCAAACATAAAAATAACAGCGGTCAGCCAAGCAGCGAAGATATGGCGTACATTTGCGGACAAAAATAATTGATATTAAAAGACAATTTTAAGTTCAAAAATCAGACTATCCATGTCGAAATCTCGTCATATGAATTTGTACTCGCAATGAACGCAGTCGAAATATCATCATTCGAACTTGAAGTTACTTTGAACAAGTTGAAACTATACACCTTTTGCTGTTCATTACGAGAAAATACGCATTCATTTGTGTGAAACAGCGACCAACAGCGCGAAGATACATTCATTAGCGCAAAAAAGCGAACATTTGCGCCTTAATCAGATTCAATAACGATTTTTGCATTTTAATCAACATTCAATAACATTTTTGGGCATTCATTTGCGTCATTCGACGTACAAAAGAGAAAGATATACTTTCACTAACGCCAGCATCCACGTCATTAACACCATCTTGAAAGTCAGTAGGGACAATAGACAAACATTAAAGTGCAAACGCTGTTCATTAACATTTTTATGACACTATTTGTAATTCAATAGCATTCCTGGACAACCTTAGGATGGATATGACAAACATTAATGCGCACGTACAATCAATTGAGTGTTCTTTACATTTAATATACAAAAATCGATTTTCAATTAAACAATAGAAATTCAAACAAATTTGGCCTGAATTTCAGTGCGTTAAATGAATATCCTTCAAAAACCTCGCTATTTAAACATTTTGGGAGGTAGGTTTCCATGAAATAGTACCCCTTAGCACATTTAGCTGCGGTCGCAATGTTATCCTCTGCGCAGAGCTTCAAGCACTGCAGTTGTTTCCGAACTCCGCTAGTGAGATTGCTAGGGCTTTGCCCTCATTCCTGTTATACATCTTTTAATTTCCGGACTCGAGATGTCGGCCTTTGGTGTCGCTTTCAGACAACTTAAATCCTTTTCAACGATGTCGATGTCGCATAAGCTGTGTTCGTATTGGGCGGATATGACCAAATCTAGGTGGGCTAGCACCCCGTCATACCCAAAGACCACCGACTTATGGGGATCCATTTTTTCCTCGCCCGTGCCAGAAAAAAAAAACCGACACAGAATTCATTACTCCAGCAGCTGCCGAGGAAAACATCTGATAGGTGGTATTGCCATGGTCATAGTCAAGTTTCGTCCTCGTTGGCCGCAAACTTAGCGATACGCCCTCCACTCCCTGTCGCACTCCACCATGACTTCTGGCCGTCTAGGGTAAATGTATAGCCGCAGCCGTCGACGAACACTCAGTGGCGAAGTACTCGATGTGTCTCGATGTGTCGAGAAAGCAAAAGCAATTTGTCAGCAAAAAGCGGTACAGCCCGCTTGGGAGCGATACTGGCCCGGAGTTGCTCAGCAGTGAACTCTTTAAGGTACTGCTTTACTAACAAATCAGAAGCCGGGTTGCCAATAACGAGAGTCCTATACCAGTCGCCTAGACGACCAATGACGGAAAATATAGAGCGTAACTTGCCAATGTATCAGTCAACGGTAGAGTAGGCCAGTCGTAATGGGCACTTGCTAGGGAAAGAACCCCGCTGACCAAGATGTTAACGTCCTATGTTATGAACTTGGGTTTTACCTTTTGAGTCCTTAAACACCAAAAAGCGGCAAACATCTAGTGGGGTGGCATCAAAAAGGCGTTTATTGCCAGGGAGGCAAGCAAACCTTCAAGCTCGGCCTTTAAAGATTGTTTCTGCGGGAATAAGTGAATGATAGACTTGCTGGCTGGAGAGAGCTGATACGTAGATCAAAAGCAGGGAGGACGAAACTGACTGCCGTGGGAACGGCTTAGTGGACGTGACGCCTAGCATAACACTATTTTGACAAAACTTGTAGACATGGTCATTGGGATAGTGACAAGATGGGCACGCAACTACTGGAACGAATAAACGCGGATCAGGAGAAAGATGCGAGAGAAAAGGAAGAATTGGTAGAGGGGTATGAGATGGGAGACAAAAAGAGACAGGAGATGTTAAAAGAAACTGAATTTAATAATCACGAGTGACACATTCTCATTACAGTAGGTTATGACAGTATGAATAATAAAAAAGTCAAAGATAACGAACAGTATGTGAACAGACTAAACCAAGAATTAGTGCATTCTATTCATAAATATCCTTGCTCAATGCTGTTATTCTGCTAGCTGGAAGGTGGGCATGGTGACTCCTTTGTACAAAAAAGATGACGAATGTTGTAAGATCAACTATAGGCCCGTAACTGTGCTCCCTGCTCTAAACATTATTTTTGAAAGCCTTCTATCACGGCAGATGTATGAATTTTACAACGGGCTCTTATCAGACTTCACAAGCGCTTATAGAAAGTTTCGTAGTTGCCAGACCTCGTTACTAAGGTTGACGGAGGACTGGAGCATGATGCGTGACAGGGGGGAGCTTGTTGCGGTAGTTTTTATGGATCTCTCCAAAGCGTTTGATGTTACTCAGTATCCACTCCTCCTGTCGAAACCTAGGGCCTATGGTATGGACGACAAAAGTTGTGCCGTAATTAGAAACTATCTCTTTGGTAGAACTCAGAGAGTTAAAGTTAGAGACACTTTTCCAACCTGGGAAAGCGTCAAGCGTGGGGTTCCGCAGTGGGGTGTGCTAGGTCCTGTGCTATTCAACATTTTCATTAACGATCTTTTCTTCCACGTAAAGAAGGCCAAGTTGAATGCTTATGCGGATGATCATCAGGTGTACTACTCCCACGTCGATCCGGCAGCTTTAGAAGCTTGCGTATCTCATGATGTTGGGGTGGCCAGATAGTGGTACCATGAAAATGGGATGTTAGTTAATGAGAGCAAGCACCAGGGTCTAGTCCTAGGTAATCCGGAGACAGGATGGATTTTCCTTCCCAGTAAAGGACACTTTAGATAGTTTGGAATGCAAATAGATAAGAAACTGAATTTTTCTAAGCATATTTCAAATGTACAGAAAAATATTATAATCAATTTACTGTTATGACGCGCTTTCGAAAACTCATACGCAGGGAAATCTTATTTAAACTGTATAAAGCGTATATTTTACCTCAGTCATCTGTTTGGCACTTTTGAGGAGCGCGCGATGCGGAGAAGCTTGAAGCACTAAATAAAAGAATACTTAGAATTATAATTGGAGATTACTCGTCCCCATACACCAATCTTGTTTCAAAAGTCAAATCTACTTCGTTGTGTAACAAGCGCGTTCAGAATTTTTTTCATTTGTCATATAACAGTTTGTGTTTCGCTCATTTTCCTGCTTATATGAAGAATATGTTTTCACTCCGATCCTCTTCCTATGATCTTCGTCGCAACTAGATTCTTTCACTTAGTAAACCTAAAAGAACTACCCACGATCTTAAATGCTTTTCTTACTTTTCAGCTAGACAGTGGAATGCACTGCCGGACTTTTTTCGTACTAGGTTTTTTTTTCAGACTTAAGACTAAAATACAGGGTCGGGTAGTTCAAAGCAGGGTAAAGATAAGCCGGGGTTAGTGCGAATTTCAATTCAGATATGACAGCGTTAAAAGTAAATTCAGTTTTATTCTTCTTGCCTACAATTTGATTGTTGGTTGCTCTAAAAAGAATAGAGAAAATAATCCGGGAAAATATTTTTGAACAAAAGAAAAGGAAACCCAGTTAACCCTGGGTTAGCGCTAATTTTCGCAGAATTTCCTACTTGCGATAGAGAGAGATTCCGCACACGCTGGTTCAACAAACGAGGACTGTATACTTTCGTACAAATCTGACTGTATTCTTCAGAATTCAACATTACACGTTCCGTTCTACGATCAATTTCAATCTAACTAAATTTTACAAAACTGCTGCGTTTATTAGCTAAGGAAGTCCACACCCAGAAGAGTAATTCCAGCGTGGTCACAATAATCAAATGGGGTCCAAGTTCTTTGCTCACGTTTAATATCGATTCGTGGGCACTAATTTCAACTAATTTCCTAGTAAGTGTGGGTTTACTTGACAATTATGGTGCTAATCCTTATGTGCGGTTAAGCTAGTAATACCCTATTAAATACAACATTGATTAATTCTAATTATCTTATCCCACGATATTTCCTTAAATAAGAAAATAAATAAGCATTCTTATGTTTTACAACACTAATCGACCTTCGAACAACTGGGCCCAGGATATTACCTTCGTGTTGATTATTTTGCTTGTAAATACGTGAACTTAAATTTGTGAATTGTAAATAATATTTTCTTTTCTTTACATGGGAGGGAGCCGTAAAAGGGAATCTAGCTGAGATGGCATGTCTTTGATCCACAAATTGAGAAAACGGTTGTCATTACATAAACGGCATAACCAAATGAGGAGGGGGAACTTCACCAACCCTTTCCCACGGGGAGATAGCCCCAGTTCTGAAGAGATCAATCAATAATGGTATCAGAAATAAATTGAGCAAACGGTTACAAGACGATGCGTTAGAAAAAATCCGATGCAGGGGTAACGCCGAATCAAAGTTTTCTCCCCTATATTGACCTTTTAAAAAAAGGTTGAAAGAAATCGTGCACGTTAACACAGTTCTTGATCCACAGCAAAATCTTGGGCGTAAGATCAAACGGGGCAATGTTGGCGATGCGCTCCTAGGCTGGAAAATGATTTTCTAGGTTACCAGCAACAAAGGAGTCGGGATCTCCGAGGAGGGCATGGAAACATCCGCGCGAGCCTGGCCACTGATAACATCTACGAACTTAGATGCAATGTGCATGTTGCCTTCTGCCATCCCCTGAGCCACCTCAAGAGGCGAACCATCAAAGCCGACCCAACGCACTTAAGGACTGATAACACTTTTAGGGTCGAGATCCGCCTTAAATTCCCACCGTAGAATGGCAGGAAAGGCACCCTTAAAACGGTTGGAAGGGGGCTAAAAAGAAATGGAAAAAGGGCAAATAAAAATAGAGGAGGTGGCTCCGGGGATGGCAGTTTTGAGCCTCAAATAACTGGGAGGGAAATTGACTCCCTTTCAAAGCTGCCACCCTAGAGGGGGTAAGGTAAAAAGGAAACACAAAAGTAGTAGCAATTAACAAATTTTATTTGTGGCTCACGACTAAGACAATGCCTCGACCGCGAAGGGCGCTGAACACGGGAAAAAAAAGGAAAAAACACCAAAAAGGCAAGGCAATACGTTAAGATCTAGAACGATGTCGGAACCAAGAGAGCAGAACTAAAGGTCCCTGGAAATCACGCACAAAAGCCTTACAGAATTGACAAAGAAACAGAAAAATAATATATAAAGAACAATAAAGAAGAAGATACCGCGCACGGTACTATGGAAACGAAAGATAGCAATGCTAATGGCGTTGAAATCAGTAACATGTGACGAGAAAATGGTGTTATAATGGCGAAACAAAAGAAGGAAATAACAACTAAAAACATAGCAAACAAAAACACGCAATTGCCGGAGAAGCAGAAATGAAAGATAAGCGTTAAACAAAATAACAAACATACAAGGGAACTTATCTTGTGGCAAATGCTTAAACAAAATTCTTGCAGTACAGAAGAACAAGATCAGTTAATTGCAATGGAAGAAGACCCTGCAAAACGACGCAACGGACGAATAAATGACATTAAAATACCGATTGACCAAAATTCCATGACAGGGCAATGAATTACATGGGCCATGAGACAAAAAACAAGTTAATAAAACTTGTCATGTCTAACTTGTCATGTCTTAAAGCAAACCAAGTATAATGACCACTCCATTTTAGTAAAGCGTAGTAACTATGCAAAGCGTAACAGACATAGTTAAGGAACTTCTAACGCCGGAGAAAACTAAACGAAAATTATCACCAGAAAGAGAAAAAATAATGCGACAAACACGAGTCATATTAAAAAGGAAAAAAAGAGACAAGAAACTAGATGCCGGCAAAAGAAAAGCGAAATGCTGTTATACAAGGAAAAACAGAAACAATGCAATAAATACATTCATGGCTATGAGGTAACAAACTGATTAATAAGTTTCTCATGCCAGAAAGCGAATAAATGATTTATTTGTTTTCTGCATTAAAAAGCCTACGAGATAAACCGCAGCAAACAAAGGAATAAACATCGGCAATCAGGCAACAAACAATTTAAAGAACTTAAAATGCCGGAGAAACTAAAGCAAAGTTTTCACTACACAAAAGTTTGAAAGTAAATAAACTAGATGCTAGTAAAAGCAAAGCGAAAAACTAAAGCTATTGTACCAAGTAAACTCTGTTGTATAAAAAGTAGCAAAAATGCAATGAATAACATCGACCATGAGGGAACAAACGAATAAAAGAACTTCTCACGACGGGAAAACAAATGTATTAAAATGCCTACGTGATAAACCACAGCAACAAAGCAATAAAAAACATCGACCATGAGCTAACAACAATAAAGAACGTCTCATGCCGGAAAAACTAAAGCAAAGTTTGCTATAAAAAGTGTGATAGTAAAGAGACAGAAAACACCGGTAATAATGACAAAACAATAAACTAGATGCCGGCACGCAAAAGCCAGGTGAAAAGCTAAAGCTATTGTACCGGGCAAAATTTCTTGTATATAAAAGAAATAATTCAAAACGCAATGAATAACATCGGCCATGAGGAAACAAACGAATAAATGAACTTCTCATAACGGGAAAACTGGAGGTGAAAGTAGTAGCTTTAAAGAAAATGTATAACAATGCGATATAACGCCGGTAATGAGGAACAAAACAAATTGATAAACTAAATACCGGCAAAACCGAAACGAAATGCTAATTGCAAAAAAGCCAGAAAAGTGCAATAAATTACATCGGCTATGAGGCAACAACAAAGAAAACTTCTCGAGCCGAAAACAAAGCAAGCAAAATGCAATGGGAATACGATGAATAACATCGGTCATGAGGAAACAAACAAACAAACCAATTAAAGGTCAAATGAACCAAAAAATTGACATATTTTCTTTTGTCGCTCTAAAGTGAGTTTTGGGTAAAGATTTTTCTTCGGTTCGGAAATATCTTTCTATTTTCTAGTTTTAGGCTCGTAAAGGCTTCTGAAGTGCTTTTGCAAAGACTTTACCGGCGCACTATCTGACCTCTGATGCACTCGTCAATGTTGGTCTTTCAGGGCGGAAAACGTTCTGCGCAAGCTTCTGCGCATCTCTTATCGCCTGCGTTTGTTTGTCTTGTTCTGTGAGAGTTCTGACTGAGACTGAATGAAATACACGAGGTGCAAACGTTTGCTCCTTGTAAAGGTTTTTTTCTTGTTTTTGTTGTTGTTGCCTTTTCGTCACTTGAAAATTACTTTGGATTCAGAACAACCAATATTAGAGTAAAAACAGATCATTCCGTCAGTCTGAGGTGGAATAAGACTTTTTGAACATTTCCAAACAGGTTTGTATTTTTCTGATAATTGTGCATTCGATTTGTGAGTTGATTTTGAGTCCAGTGCTTCGCCTTCTTTCGCCGGGTTAAATTAAAACCTGCTTGTATTCTGTTATTAGTAGTTATGGTTACTTTTTTTACATGCCCAGATTTATTTACCTTTGCAGAACCAGCTTTATCCTTGTCTTCAGTCAAAGAACCGTAACGGCTAACGCATGCGAGTGAACAACCTTGTGCGCTTTTAAGCTTTTAGTTTTAAAAACTTTCACGGAACTTTAGAAGGCCAGCAAGCTTACTCGAGAAGAAAAGACTACTTCGATCATTTTCTGTTGCTCAAGTAATAATAGTCAGAGTTTTTTTCCTTTAGTTTTTTCAGTTTTAATTACATAGTTTTGTTATCTTTATGCTCTTCCTATAACTTCCTTAGAAGGTTCAAAGGCCGATATAACTGCTTTGCCTGAGCTCTGTTTGCTGGCATGGGCTGGATAGATAACCAGATAGCAAGCCAAGATTGAACGTAAAGGACTATGGGTAAAAACTCAAAGCCAGTTTATTAAGGAAATAAGTTCAATAAAAAAAATGATAATTTCCCAGAACATAAAATTGTTAAGAATGTTACACAAATTTGTTGAAACTTTGGCCCAGTAAAGGCGAGGGCCACAACAAACGCAAGCAACATGGCAACTGGGCAGGGTTGGGAGGGGAAAAGCTTCAGCTTACTTGTCCACGAGTTTGAGGCAAGTGTGCTGGATCCACTCGAAATCGCGCGTACGTGTGGTCAATATGGGATACCGCTGGCCACTTGCCACGTGAATGCTGCTATTACATAACAAGGAAAATAGCTCTGCCTTTTCACAATAACGATACAACAATATTAAGAAGGAAGTGATAGGGAGCATAAAAATCCTATTTGCTAGCAAATATTTCATTTCTGTTCGCGAATTTTCTTTCACTCGCTGTGAAGTGGCGGAGAACGACAACTGCCGGCAGTGACTCCAAAACAATCCACTCTTTGCCCGTAAACAATTGCTAGAGCTGGATTTGACTGAAGCGAGCAAAACAATCCTTATGTGCAGTTTTCTGTAGTTTCTAATGATTCAGTTTGCTGAGTTTAATTTGCTCGAATGAAGACCCTCGCATGGACCCGTTATTAAAAGTAGCTAATCTAGCTAAGTAGTCAGAATCATGGCTTGGCTGCGAAGCTTGCAACTGATCTTTTGCTTTTAAGATCTTTAGGTAGGTTGTTTCCGTAGTGAAAATTCACTTCTTCTTTGTCAGCAGGTATAAGAGCCTTAAGCCTTATGTTTGTTTTTTTTTTTTGTTTTTGCTTTTTTTTTATGAAAATTTGTTATTTTGCAATAATGTAACTTTAACTTTGTTTGAGGGAAATCTTACGCGTAGGTTTTTAACAGGTGTGATGCATGTTCAACTTGACAACACAAAGCAAAATTAATCTGCGCGAAACGATCAAGTTAAAAAACTATGGTTGCTTTGAAACCGATCTTGGGGAAGATTTACTAGATAAAGATTAACTCTTTTTCTGCCCACATATCAAGGCCAAAACTTCTTCATTGAAGATTTTGTTTATATTTTAGTGATCTGCGAAGCTAGAAGAGTCCGATCGAGCGTGAGTTTTAAAATATCAGCTCGAGTACTACAAAGTTCAGTGACTTCAAACACATTGTGGGCAAACTTGAATTTCTTTGGGCAGATTATCATACAAAGATATTTTGTTTTTGTGTCCACGGTGGAGCTCCGGACCATATATACCCAGGAACTTCCTTATACGAACACATTTTGTGAATGCATCTTGAAAAAAAATCGGATTTACCGTGCGTGTAAAGGTCATGTTGAGTTCCTTTAATCATTTACAGCAATTTCAGGCAAAATGATACTACATAAGAAGCTCTTTTAATTTATTATTCTTCCAATATTGGTGTCGAACGTTGAAAACTTCTCAAACTGCCTGTTCTTTCCAGGTTTATGGCCGCACAAACCACATCTGCGCCAAGTCGACTCGAAAAACTCTGTTTTGAATTTCCCGCTCAGGGGGGGCTGGCAGCGAGGTCTGGAACCGAGTTTACATGATCGCCCTAGTTAAGAAACTCGGCCGAGTGAGACTGAGTACAAATTTTCCTTGAAAACAAATATGGCGGAGAATGCAGAGTTTTGGCTCGGTTTTAAGTTTTCCCGCGTAAAAATATCAAGAAAAGGTTTCTATGAACTCTTTTAATGGACCTTTTGGACATCAGAAGGCATGATGTATGAACAGTTCATGGGTGATTTCACTTATCGTGATTCGGGATCTCGGCAAGTTCAGCTATTTTTAAGCTTCGTGAATTTTCGAGCTACCATCTTGCTCCATCTGTTATATTTTTCCACTTACAGTGGTATTAAGACTCTCTTCCTTATCTTAGACATATGCTACGGCACGATGTATTGTTATAAGTCTTGCAACAGTCCTATGTGAATGTTCATTAAACCGCTGATTTTCTATTTCACTGTTCGTAAGTTTGTTTGTACACCAGGAGGCACAACAAATATTTATAGGCGTAAATACAGAATACAGGGCCAATTTAGTAAAAACCAGGGTAAATGTTCCAATCACTTTGCTTCACATATAAGCTATTTTTCATATCAGAACGCTGGGAGGGGTTTACTGAACCTTCAAAACCTTTATTGGAATGTCATTGGAGTGATAATCAATAAATTTCCAACACCAATACCATATTTAGTAGTTTTGTATTAGATAGTGACTTCGGTTTCAAGTATTTCCTTGAAATTGTTGGTACAAAAATTACCCTTTAATAAGTTATGAATTACACTTGAAATAATTATAGTGGTTTAGTGTAAGAACAAGAGGCTAACTCAGTTGCTAATAAGGGTGAGTACATCAGGAAAGAGTATGCGTTGAGAAAATCCCCCAAAGGACTGAAGTACAAGAAACAGAAAAAAAGAACTGAATGTTTTGCAAAGTTTATAAAGAGAATCAGAAGAGGCTTGAAAAATATACAACTTAAGTTGATTGTCTGTGTAAGTTATGAATCTGATTTACAACTAAATTATACAAGGTAAAATTGATTTTTTATCAACCATCAAAAGAAGTTATTGTCGGGCTTGAACTCCATCCTCTCAGCAGTTCTTTCTACGATGCTACCCTTGGCTTATTTGGCCTAGATGGGTATGTGCTGCTGATTTAGGGTGGTGACCATTTCACCCTTTAGAGTTTTGAACAAGGTGTCTGTTTGGGTTGTGAAGGTTGAAGAGAGTACAGTCTATTGGTACCACCATTTCCCCCCAAAGTTTTGCCATGTTTCTAAGTTTAAAAGCTACCTTAATTCTGTATGCTAATTGAAAAGGAAATGAATCAGGATTATAAAATAAGGTCTCTTGGCTTAAAAAGGGTAGGGAAATGCACAATGTGTCCTACTAACCATATACTGTCTTTCAGTGTAAGCCCAGGGAGGTGATCTCACATTTTAATTCCCTTTTACTACTTGTTGTAACAGCAAAGTCAGTGAAAGTTTATGGTCTCTGAAAAATATTTTTGTCAGCCTTAACACAAGTTTCTAACTGTTATTGTTGACTGCAAATAATATTATCTTAATAATCATTTTACCTTTCTGTCTATTTCTTTGACGTAAGTATTCATGGGCGAAAAAAATAAAACCTCTGTAACCAAAGCTTTGTTCACCAACTTCACCCGACCTAATTGCTTCCTTCAAGTATGGAAGAATTTGTTCATTGTTCTGAAGATAAGATCACATGCAAAACTGACTTGCATTTTGTTAACTGTGATGAAAACAAGAAAATCTTTGCGTGTTGTCTCCCTCTCCGCCTCTTCTCTCGTAGTCTACAGTCTGTACTGCAATCTTAACGTTCTATATTTGCACGACTCAACCCAGTGCTACAAACAAAGGACAACGCTCGTCCAGCCGTAGTTCGTAGTCCGTAGTCTCCGTATCTTAAACTCCCTATTTCCAAGCGACTGCTACGCAGCCTATATTGAAAAATAATAAATAGTACCGTGCCGCATTTGAAGGTAAATCCACCCAAGCAAGTTTAGCGTCATTTGTACATCATCTATCATCGGCATGATCTGCGTCGCTTTCAATTATACTGGGAAACAAAGAAAACGAGAAAAAAAAAGGACCCTGAAAGGTAACTTTGTAAAAATCCAGGACATGCGTTTTAAACTCATTTTGTAGCATTTGTAATCATGATTCCGACTTCTTGTTATGTTCATTTTCACTGAAGTAAATCTATCATCTGGCATAATTTGTCGATAGTTTATTAGGGCATCTTGAAAACAGTTCTTGAAGCCTTTTGGACTTGACCAGCCGGAAGCAATTTTACTTCAGAGTTCAGATGAAACTGTCACCCGACGCGATTCTCACGGTTGCCCGTTTTTCAGGAGTTTTTTTTCTTTTTATATTTTTCGACGGACAATTTCACCTTTTTGGCTTTTCAGATAGCAATACCTATTTAGATACCGAAATTTCCATTTTTCCTTGCGCTTTGATGGGCTAGAAATAACTTTGGTGTAGTTTTGTCCTTTGTTTACATGGGTTCTGCTTTGTTTACATTTCACGTTCTTGTCGCTTACGGAAGCCCGAGGGGCTATATTTAAAATTGTATTTTTCGCAGAGCTGAAACTTCAGGTCTAGTTAAAAGAATCAGAGTTCTTTCATATAGTATAATCATATTTTAAATTTGAGACATACCAGAATCGACTTTTTGCGGTTAAAGTTGGGCGTTATTTCGACCTCCAAAACATTGCGCAATCAAGGTGGAAACAATGAAAGCCCAAAACTATATTACCAAAGTTATTTTGCGAGACATTTTTATGCAGTCTTAAAGCGTTGGATAACTGGTAAATGCATGTGCAAGATCAAGTCAATAGGAGCTTTTGCGCGCTTGTACTGCTTTCTTGAAATTGTTGAAATTTGCAGCAATTTCGTGAATAAAATTGAATGTATTTTTAACGAATTTTTGAACTTTTCCAAATTTCTCAAAATGTAAAGCGCTTGAGGATACTATTTCTTGAAATAGTTCACCTAAAGGGTTGTTTGGGTGTTGTATTAGCCAAAATTCGAAGTTTTAGAACTGATTTGAGATTCTCGATATTTTCCGACATTGGCTCATGAGAAGGTTTGCGTTTAATTATGAAGATTAAATTAAAAACATGTAAAAGATATAGATATACAGTTGAATGGTGAGGCGAGTTGAATTTAATTTGCTTACCTAGAATGCATGATTTTTTCGAGGCCTTTTTGTACAGCTGTCACCTGTTGTGGGTTTGGTTTCTGGTTTTAGTTTTGCCCAAGTCATTTTTTGTTTAATTTCTTTTCGTTCCGTTTTTAAGGAATTTCGTTTTTATTTCATTCTTTTGGCTTCTTCCTGTGAAAATTCTCAGAGACACTTATGTCTAGTTTTATTTTTAACGTTCGCGATATAATATAATATTGATCTCATAACAGCCAAGAAAACCAAACCTGACTATAGGAATATGACCAGAAAGCCTCGAGTCACATTATAATTTTATTTTTGATATCTGGAACGTGGGCTATTAATAGATAAACCTACCATAAAAAGCGTCGTACCGTTGTTGGTAACACACTCGTGGATTGGACAGCGAGTCTCATTAGAGTGTGTGGCGGATGGTGTACCCTTGCCAAACATTACTTGGAAGAAACCTGATGAAAGTCTTATTAACAGTGTTCAAGCCGCAAAGAGCACGGTTGAAGTACTTATGCAAAGTGATGCAGACTTTGGAAACTACACCTGTGAGGCTGCAAATGGTGTGGGTGCTGATACGCGCAAAGTTTATGTGAAACAACTCAGTAAGTAGTATGCCTAACGAATGTTTAGTTTCAAAATTAAAAAAAAAATCGCGTACACAAAATGAGTCGGCCCACTTATTTTTGTCCCTGATCATCCAGCAAACACACGACAATCTGCGGTCTAGAACTACAACAATGCAACACGGAAAATGTAGAATGAAAATTGATAGTGAATTTACTTTATCTACTTGATTAAGATCTTGAGAGATGTTATTTAAACGGTTTAACCTCCGCGTACGGACTCGGAAAAATCTAGTACCTAGTGCATTATTGCACACCTTTATAATGTACTCTTGCTGTTGACGGGGAAAATTCGCAGGGACGAAAACTCATTTTATCTATTTATGATCTTCGACTTGATAAAGATGATTTGTTTCTGTTGTTCTTCTCCTTTAAATAGGAGCCCCAGGCTCACCCAATATCTCAGTAACTACTGAAGCAACTTCATTGACAGTAACATGGCTTCCCCCAATTTATGGCGGTGGCAGTACTGTTACGGGATACCTAGTACAGGTCATTAATAGCACTCATGGCATTTTCATAAGAAATTTCACCACTCCACATTCTGCGAGGAAGCTAGAGATTCCAAACCTGATAAAGAACACAGTTTACGCGGTGAGGGTAATTGCCAGAAATAAAGTTTCTTTTGGAACAGCTGCGGAAATCTTGGCTAAAACAAAGATTGTTGGTGGGTATGACTGTGATATTTATTTCTATTCATATTTATAACTTTCCACTTTTGTTCTGGATTTACTATAAAATTGATTGTGGTTAGATGTTTGCTTCACAGTACAATTAATACCAGAGGGTCCAGAGGAGTTTAGGTTGTCGTGCAAACAGTACCCTGCGAGCAGAGGCTACGTTTTCGTGGTATGAACTGGCGTGCGAGAAGTAGCCAGCTTATACCGCGAAAATGTAGCCTGTGCTTGCAGGGTATGCGAACAGTAAAGACGTACACGGTGAAAATAAACCTGAATCCTAGAGTTATAGTTTGTTTGCACAACGTATTATATACTGCAGCCCGAAGGACAGTGAGGGCTCGGTAAATTCCAAGTTCGGCTTCCAGTGAATAATACAAGCCTGATGCTTCGGTCTGAAAGCTTGGCTCTCCGACGACAACTGCAACCAGTTATACCCAAGCTTACCCAGATAACCAATAGCGGCGCCATTCGATGGTAATACGGCCAGTCTCGAAACATCATCGCCTGACGCAACGATTTAGTATATATTGGCCCCTGATAATTTCCCTGCTGACAAAAAGGACCTCCCCCGTTTTCCTTAGACAGTTTTTTTGGCATCTTAAAGACTGAAATCGTTGATTTAATGTAGAGAGAGAACAATAAAATTTTATGAGGATCAGTAATTATAGCCAGTGAGCCATGCGAGGTAGACGTGCGAGACAAAACCAAGTCATTATTAGCAAAAAGAAGTAGAGGACTCCTGCCGTTCGTAAAGAACTCTCTATTGACCGACATTATTTCGTCCTCTTTGAAAAAAATTTTCCTTGCGATATGATATGGAGGTTCCTTAAAATTTCTCTAAGATGCTGTTGGTTCTGCTTAAGGTTTTATTTCCCCGTCGTTACTTTCTTTCGGCTAGGTAAAGCCGGATGGTATTGTGTAAAAAAAGTAGTAATCTTGTACATTCTGTTGGCGGTGTAACCTCCTTACGACTGGGTGGCCTCTGCACTTTTGGCTTGATTCGAAATTTTGGATGTTTTCCTCTCAAAGGTTTTTTTTTTTTTATCATAAGACCTAGCGCTTCTCCTTTAAGGAACCTTTATGTCTGTGGGTAACGAGAATAGGGTTATGACGTCCTTTATTAAAAGTCTGAGCTGTAAGCCTGTAATGCGTTTGCTTGTCCAGGATGAACAATATGATCTTGAATAGCCGCCGTAAACCATTTTCAAAAACTGTAATGTTTTGCAAATCGTAGGCACCTCTGGCGACCGGGCGCCCTTAAGCAGCAGCCTTGGGTGAACGGCCCACCCTCCCACCCAGAAAATCGAGTGAGTCGTATTACTGACCTACCCCTAAGCCAAGCTTGTCCGGTCCCAGCTTGGTTTAGTCCGCTGATCAGTCATTTTCCCATACCTTAATGCAACTGAGTATGAATATGAATGTTGTTGTATAGATTACTACTTGAGTCATACGTCTTATAATGAGCTTCCGGCTCGGATAGTCTGGACAATCATCAAATAGATTGATTAATTGATTGATTGACCGACTCAGAGCATCAGACTAAGTGTTTCGAACAGTTACCCAAAAAAAAAAAAACATATATACGCTACCTGTTGTAAGTCAAGTCAAACTCTACACATTAACGACAAGATTTTATTTACGCAGGTCCACCGACGACCGTTCTTGCTAAATGTAAGATGCAACATGACAATGGTGCCATTTACATTTCTTGGAAACAACCAGCAAGTAATGGAGCTGACATAACGTTGTATAAGGTTTACCAAAGGAGAAGGAATGAGGAGGAGTGGATGGAGATAAGAACGATAAAAAATACCTCCTCCCTTGGATTTGTCGTTAAAGAATTAGAAAAAGGCAAAGAATATGAATTCTTGATTACAGCAAGAAATACATACGGGGAAAGCCTAAAGAAAGGGTATTGTAAACGGGTTCAAGTACCTGGAGGTAGGTACCGCATTTCCTCATGTTATTAGCTTATTTCAAAAGGATGCAAGACGTTTGACAAGGTCCTCAATGGCAGCAAAAGTTTCTTTTTTTTAATAATTGACATAAAGTAATGAATATGTGAATATCATCATATGAACTGCAAGATGAAGAACGAAATGCAGAGGGGATCACCACACTTAAACACACAACGTTTGCAGTTGCGAAAAGCTAGCGCTTCTGAGTAATATTTGTTTCGTTTCTCCAGTTCTCATAATTATATGATTTATTTCATATACATCTGTCGCAGTAGTTATTGTGTGAAAGGTTTGAACCCAGGAGTCATGTCAAAAGTAGGTTGAGTTTGATCGTCCGGGTGAACGTAGTCCTGAATAGGATTGTTTTTGTTGACAGTGACTGACGTTACGACAACCTGTGCGATAGTCATCTTCAGAGTCAAAGTAAGTTGTATCACGTCAGTTGATGGTATTATACCCTGGTTATTGATCTGATTGGTACAGCAATGGGCTCTCCAGTTTCTGTTGTTGTGGCAGAAATTGTCATCTGAAACATCGAGGAACAAGCCCTAGCTACCTACACGCGAACTATACCTCTTTGGTTACGTTACGTTGGCGACACATTCACCGTCGTACACAAAGACGGAATCGACGATTTTCACGAACACCTTAACAGCCAGAACGCGGACATACAGTTCACCAAGGAGATAGAAGAAAATCGTAGGATAGCTTTTCTAGACTGCTTGAGTCACTCGCGACAACAAACTAAAAACGACCATTTACAGAAAACCGACACATACCGACCGATTACTAGACCAGTCTTCGTACAACCCGACCTCTCACAAGGTTACTACTATCTGGACTTTGACGAGACGTCGCGTTGATCAAACGCTGAGTGGACTGTCGGATGTTCTGCTCTGACTAATAGAATTGTTGCAAAAATCATTCTTGTTAATGTTGTGCCTCTTTGTTAGACGGAACACTCACAGTAACACTGATTCCAACAATCAGACCAACTCTTGTCCTGTTACGACAGCGACTATACCGTACATCAGAGGCACCTCTCAAACTATTGCACGTATATTACAACATTACAATACACGTGTTGCACACAAACCGATAACCACTTTACGACGACTGCTTACTAATGTCAAGGACAAAGACAAACCGGAGGACAGACAGGGAGCAGCATACAAGATCAAATGCTGCGACTGGCAGTCTTCTTACATTGGTGAAACCGGCAGAAACCTTAGCACGCGACTGACCGAACACAAACGAGCCACGAGGAATGGTGACGTCAACAATCACATTGCTGAGCACCATTTACAGATGAAACATCAAATTGACTGGGACCCTGCGGCATGTATAACGTATTCTACAGACTACTATCAACGTCTTACTTTAGAAAGCTGGTTTACTAACTCAAAACAAACGCCACTGAATCGTAGCCAACAGTTACCAGCGCCGTAGAAACGACTATTGACGAGATCAAGCAAAACTAACTACGAGAGAACGACTGGAGAACTGACAGTTTGACTAACAATAGACGACTGTTTAACTGTAATAATAGACGGATCGAAACGCACCAATTACTGATTACGAGTCTTCATAGCCAAAAACATCACGGTTTAACTGACAGACGACCAATAACACCGCGACGTAATTGACCAATCAGATCAATAACCAGAGTATAATACCATCAACTGACGTGATACAACTCAGTTTGACTCTGAAGATGACTACCGTAAAGGTTGTCGAAACGTCAGTCACTGTCAACAACAACAGTACTATTCAGGACTACGTTCACCCGGACGATCAAAACTCAACCTACTTTTGAAGTAATTATTGTATTATGTATATTTGCTTATTCGTATCAGACGGGATATTATATTTCTTTGTTATTAATTCTTTACTCCATCAGGCGATGCGTCCTGTGGTAATCCAAGTTTGAAAAACAGGTTTCTTTCGAAAACGTGTTTGTGAAACAATTTTGTTTAAATAATGACAAAAAGAAGAAAACAACACGTCCAGATCATTTTCACCAAGAAGTGTTTTATTTCCTTGCCCAGCAGAGGTCTCTCACGGCAAAAGAAGAAGGAGAGGAGAGAAATAGTCCTCTACCGGCCTCCGTTGCGTCTTCTATCACGCATGCAATGACGTTTCCTTAACAAGCAGTAACGTTTTAGTCACGTGCGACACAACTTACAGAACCGGCCTGTGCAATACAAATAGTCCTTTCTCCAAAATTGCGCTGGCTGAGTGAGGCCTGGAAACTGGGTTTTGCATGTTTACACAGCTAATACACAGCTGGCTGATCACAGCTGAGATAACAGATAGATTTGATGCGAAATATTCATTAAAAAACAAAAAAAAACAGAAAATGCCCCACAACTGCTTCGTTCCCTTAAGCAATAATAACACAAACAAGAACAAGAATTCGCAAAGACGAAAAATCGAAAATTCGCAGAGACGAGAGATTATTTTCTACTGTCACAAACAACACAGGTGTCTGCTCGATGCATTTCTGCGAGGAGGATTACACGGTTAGCGAAGGGGGGAAAGGAAAGAAGACCTTCCTGAAGAAAAAATGCTGTCCAGTCTATTTTTCAGTGGTCCAGTTAAAAAACGGTCCCGGACTACTTTAGCAAGCAAAGGAAAACAAAAAGGAGAATCACAGGAGGAACCAAGGCGGAAACGTCGGAGAAAAATCTGTCAGCAATGCGAAAGGAAACGTGGTGTCATCGAGAAACTACAAGCGGATCTTCAGGAAAAAACAGCGCAGTTGAAAGAACTTGGTGATAAAGTGCAGCATTACCAAAACAAAAGCCAAAAGCGTGAGCATGCTAGCGCCTTGAAGGAGGACAAACTGGATACACACATCTGTTTTCTGCTAAGAATTTTCGTGAAAAAGACAAATATGTTCGATTTTACACCCTGGCTGGTATTATATCCTGGAACGTATTTTTACATTTGTTTACCTTTATTACTGATGAATGTAAGGGTATGAAATGTTGGAGATCAGCTGTTAAAGTAATTGTAAATCACCAGCATGAGTTACATCAAGGGAGACCTCTTGGATTGTCAATGCTTGATGATTTTTTCCTGACTATTGTAAGATTGAGACGTGCCTTTGCAGAGGAGCAACTTTCTGTCTTGGATTAGCTTGTTATTTTTTGAATTGGGGTCCATTCCCATCTGGCAGAGTAAGGACTTGATATGGGAAACAATGCCTATTGCTTTCAAAGAAAGTCATTCCTGTTTATAAATGTGATGACGAAACTGATCCTGGGAACTATGGACCAATTTCTCTTTTATCTAATTTTAATCGTATATTTGAGAAAGTGATGTTTAAACGTTTCAAAGCTTTTGTTGATAAACATGACGTTCTTTTCAAAGCACAATACGGTTTTCGTGATAAACATTCCACACAGGACGCCATCCTTGATATTGTAAATACCATACAAAGCAACATGGAGAAGCAACTATTTACATGTGGAATTTTTATAGATTTAAAAAAAGCTTTTGATACAGTAGACCACTCAGTTTTATAACATAAATTATACCATTATGAAATTCGAGGAATTATCAATGACTGGTTTTCGCCTCCGTCAGAAGAAAATCAATTATCACATTACTTTAATGGTGACTGATAATAGTGAAAATGGATACACTTCACTCGAATGTAAAGATTATGCTAAATGTTAAATATCTGGGTGTATTAATTGATAACCACCTATCTAGGAAACATCACATTAATTGCATAGCACAAACAAACGAACTTAGCAAAGTCATTGGGTTATAGCTCGTTTGAGACATTTGGTTCCATTTCATACCCTACATAGCATTTATCAGTCTTTCATGTTTCCTTGTTTGTCATATGGTCTGGTTGTCTGGGGTCAGGCTCCGCAATCACATTTGAATAAAATATTAATGCTTCAAAAAGGTGCGTTACGTATAATGCATTTTTCTAAACCCAGAGCCCATGGAGTCCCTTTGTTTGTTTCTGAAAAATATTACCTGTTCAGTAAATTTGCAGTGCTTTGAGACAGTGTCGAATCTCTGTATTATATCTCAAAAAACTCTGCCCCGGAAAATATCGCAATATAACTTTATCAGATGTAGTTTAATTCACCCCCACAATACCAGAGCCTCCACGTCGGAAAATTATTATATCAAGTATTCGCGCGCGAACCAACTGAGTAATTCTATTGCAATTTTTGGAGCAAAATTATGGAATTGCCTTCCACTTGGAATACGCAGACTCCCATTTCTGGCTTTACAACTTTACATGAACACTGAGTGATAGTTTCTATACATCAGTCTACGGAACTATCATCAAAAACAATTCTTACGCTGTCTGGCGTTTCAGTATTTCTCATTCATCGATAACACTTCGCTTTTATCACGGAGAAATCTCCCGAAAGCAGGATTTTGACGTCTTAAAGGTACGTTTCTAGATAGTACTTGTCCCCTTTCTGCTTTCCCTTATTCGTTTCAAGCCATTTCTTCGAGAACTCAAAATATATTTAATGATTTCTCCCTTTCGTCTGCCGCTCGCGCCATATTAAACTTTTTCATAATTCTATATTGGAGAACGGACTATTTGGGCAACACTGAGACGCGCACTCCACATTAAACGAAACCGGTTTTGAAATTTAGTGAGTTTCCATCACAAATGTCGGTGGCTACATGAAAGAACGCGTTGGGGGGCCGGCAGAGGTCTACCTTTTTCCTCTTCTTCTTCTCTTGTCGTGAGAGACATCTGCTAGCAGGGAAGTATGTTTTATCGAATAAACACTGGAAAGATTGTCGTCAAAGCGATCCATATTTTCTTTTTTGTGTTGTTGTTGCTACTTTGGTGAAAGTCACTGGAACGCACTAAAATCAAACCCTGGAAAAATTGAAAGCAGATAATCAAGTAAATTAGCTAACCTGCCTTTTAAAGTTACTTGATATTGCCACATCATAAAGTCCTCTATTCGCTAAGTGCGGTCACTGCTTCATCTGCACAGATGTTCCAGAGGCAGTAAACACCACATGCAACATAAAAAAAAGCAAAGTGATTTTAACATGGAGGCAACCGGCAAACAACGGAGCAGTCATCACACGGTATAAGGTATACCAAAAGGGGACAAAGAAGGAGCAGTGGACAGAAATTGAAACCTTTAATAACGCTACACGTAAATACGTTGTCAGCGAAGTAGAGAAGGGCGGAGAGTATGATTTCGTTGTTACTGCGACCAACGATTATGGAGTCAGTCCAAAGATGGGGGGCTGCAAAGGAGTTAAATTGCCGGAAGGTAGGTACAACGTTACTTAGGGTGCGTTCCTTTGAGATGATCCTGATCCGGATCATCTTAAAGGAACGCACCCTTAAATATGCTTATTACATGGTTATACAGTTAATACTGCTATTCCCTCGAAAAAACTCTTTCGGTTTGCGACTGCCTTTACTTCTCCTTTAATTTTCATAACCAGCTGTTACTAACCACTTTGGAAGATGTGGATTCCCTTTCTAGTGTTTTACGTTTGTTTTCGGTCTTAAAATAACAAAGAAAGTCAGGGGCGATTGACGTCACTTAAAGATAGCGATGACGAAATATTGCACGGGCTATGCGATGAAGAAATAGCCGAACTACTGACTCAAGAAGATAGCAAGAATTCACAAAAATACACCTGAAAGGATGCTGGCTGCTTTTGAAAAAATATAACAATATCTCCGAGAAAAAATGATACCCGTTCGTTTTTCGACACTGTGTCATGGAACTTTCTGCATTAGCGATGTCAGTAAGAAACAGATTTGTGCAAACTGAACAAACAGTTGAAAAACCTATTACTAGATCTGTTGATGGTATTGTTTAATGTAAGGTTGTAAGTTAAACGAAATCATTGACAACAAACTTCAAAAAAATTTATTAGGGAAAACGAAAATCCAGATTGCAGCAAAAACGTAAAACAGAAACGGACAAAAAAGGTCGTTCTGACAAGACATGAAGACTAAATTGCAGTACTTACTGCAGTTAAAGCTGGTTAAAGCGACATGACCGCCGTTTTGCATTATTTTCGCAGTGATTTTTCTGGCATATTTTGCTTGATTCTTCTTCAAATATTTTGTTTGCTAGCGCGAATACATAGACAACGATCAGGGTCGTGAGTTAAGCCGCCACAAAGATTCACCCCTGTTTAGGGGCAAGATCGTTAGAAGAACCCGGAAGCAATCACATTGCAGGATTTGCAGGATTTCTCTCGCCCTCTTACTCATCCTCGGGGACCCGGCGGTAGTCAGTCGGGTCGGGAGAAAAGGCGCGACGAGCGTTTTCAAAAACAGGCGGAAAATCCCCTGGGTACCGACTATCGCCGGACCATTTCCAGACGGTCAAGCGAATGCTGGCTCTTGATTGGGCACAAAAAATGCTTTGTATTATTGTGCCCAACCGACGAACAGTATCGCCTGAGTTCTTTTCGAGCGTTCGTAAACGACTGTTATTGTCTCGCCGTACTATATTGTAATTGTCCGGTTCGTTCACGTACGTACGTACGTTGTGCGTGCAGGGAAAACTTTCCATTTCTACTTTACTAACCAGAAACGAATGAAGTACAGGTGACTCGGGAAATCGTTCGGATGCTATCAGCAGAACCATTCCAGTTCGCACCGAGAAAATTCTGTTTCTGACCGATCACAAGGTTTCGTAAATATAATGGAAATTTAACATCAAGCATGGCGGCGGCAGCAAAACGTCACTTTTAAAATGAATTCGCGTTTCTTCAGACTTTGTCACGTTTATTCTAATTCGCTGTAAATGTCAAGTGAACGAATTTTCAAGGAGTTGATTTCTTGGGGAACGCACTCAAGTTTAGAAAGAAAAAAAAGAGAAATTTTCATCGTGCAATTAGGCACTTTCACGTCATTGTGGTACAGTGACGGCAAAGAAATGTACCAAAAATCGTGATGCACGTGCAAAGTTGTTGTATTGTTTTTATCAAATCTACTGCTTTTTTACCTTCTCGTTGTCGTCACCATCGTCCTTGCTAAAGCTCCCTTGTAGAAACCTCCTCGGAGCAAATTGAAATGGTTCTGCGTACAGCATCCGATTTTTTTCACGAGTCATCCGTGGTTCATTCGTTTCTGGTTAGTAAAGTAGAAAGTGATATCGAAAGTTTCCCTTGCACGCACAACGTACCTTGGTGAAAAAACCGTACAAGTACAATATAACAGCGAGACAATAGCAGTCGTATACGAACGCACGAAAAGAACTCAGCCGATGCTGTTTGCCGATTTGTTTTTAGAAAAGTAGCAACAAATGGGAGTGGACAAGGACTGCATGCATGTTAAGCTTTCGTTCGCAACCGAATTCTTCCACGGTTTGCTACCAACGATTGTTTCTGTTTGGCAACTCAAAAGTTATTATTTTCTATTAATGCTGAAGTCCAGCGGTTGATCTGTAAAAACCTCCTCAACAGCCTGGGCTGCATGGAGTCGTATTTAATCAAGTCGGTTTGCGCGTAGGTGTAACTCGACCTAATATGTAGGTGACAGGGAAAGAGGGAGACTTCTCGACGAGAGAGAGATAAAGCCGAACATAACGCGTCTGAATTAAAGATACTTACTGATGAAATGTATGAATTAAACAATGTCAGAGTGAATAGCTAAGCGACGAGATGTCTTGGAATTCCTACAAAAGTGCATAAATTATGCATGAACTGAAGACTGGACTTAAGGTGGCCCGTTCCTATTTATATGCGTGTTGGTTATATTTTTCATTCGCGTTTTTCAGAATGAAAGATTCAACCGATTTCTACGATTTTTTGCATCCTTAATAAATAACGATAGAACTTTAAGAAACTGTCATTTATTTTCTTATAGGTATGAAAACGTTTTAGATATCGGCATAAATTTAAAACCTCATTTTTACGAAAAATGAAAATAACTTCGAAATCCCTCGACAGATTTTTCCCTAACTTCAGCAAATAAGCCTCAGAGCTCTCTAGTTTTATGTCTGCTAGTTTGAAGGCAATCGTGACCGTAGAAATCGCTCCACAAAATGGTGGTCAAATTCAATGCTAAAATGATAGGCCAACACATTTGTGAACCTAAACGCACAAATAGGGGAAGAGAGCAGACAAACTACCTCTTAACTGAAACGTTGTTCTTACCCAAAGCATTGTTGAAAGAAAATGAGTAATCGGACAACTACGGCGAACACAGTTAGCGCTTTAATACAACCAACGCGTTGAAATTAAATATATTCTATTTATCCAACTTACTCTGCATTTGTCCGTTCATTTTCGACAAAAATATTAAGAAAACAAAACACAGAATCTGCAGAAACCGCTTGGCAGTTTTTAGCTTCAAAGGTTCTCGTTCTAAGGCGAAATAAGCCTGCTAGTTCGAGAACACCTCGCCACCCAACTTTAAGCTGCAGTGAAAACCCTCTCACGAGCAGTATGCCACTTTCGTAAAAATGAGGTTTTAAATATATGCCAACATCTCAAAAGTTTTTATACCTGTAAGAAAATAAATAACATTTTCTTAAGTTCCATTATTATTTATTAAGGATATAAAAAATCGTAGAAATCGGTTGAATCTTTTATTCTGAAAAACGCGAATCAAAAACATAACCAACACGCATATGAATAGGAACGGGCCACCTTAATGCAGATAAATTTGCTACTTTTTGGGTGTTTCCGAAAGTTTGTATCACTCATACTTTTTTGTAAATGACCTCATACACTCTACAGCAGGCTCCACGCAATTAAACTTGCACAGTTTCCGAAAACAAAACAAAAAATGTGAGTCAGGGTAAAACGCAATGCTGAGGAGCTCACTTTGTAATTATTTTCAAAAGCTATTTTCACGAAAACAGCGATTAAACCCAAATTCGTCGATATATTTTCTTTAAAAACTTTCAGTGCTGCAATTGATCAGTGTACTATAAAATCCGTTCCCGAATTTCGTGTCCATTGAAAACTTTTTAATTTGTCTAACATGGGCGCAAATTTGAGTAAATACCGAAGCGATGTCAGAATTGTTGAAAATTTTTGCGTTCTACCTTGATTTACATGTTTTCGTGTTTTTCGAAATCGCACAATTCTTAACTTGCATTTAGCCGGTTGTAGATTATATAAAGGTTATTTACGGAACGAATGGGTGATTAAAACTTTTCGGAAACATCCAACTTTAACAAATTTGTCTGCAACAAGTCCAGTAAGTTCGTAAGTCTTTACATTGTAAACAGAGTAAGTACCTTAGTCTATTGTATTCTAAATATTGTATTGTAAGTAGTGTAAGTATCGTAGTGTTTGTAAGTATTTTTGATTGTTGATTGTCGATTGAATAAAAAAAAAAAAAAAAAAAAAAGGCCAGCCTTCACTTCATGTATAATTTATGCCCTTTTTTGTAGAAATTCCAAGATATCTTGAAATTCGTCTCTAGATTTTCGTGAAACTTCGCAGAACACAAGACAAGCACCCAAAGTACACGTAGCTTCTCTCATTTCTAAGACTTCAAAGAATAAAATCTTACGAAAAGTTAAGTTACATGAAATTACTTTTCTCTATGGATAAAAATGAAGGAAATCGATTTTTTAACTCTTACCACTCGATGCTCGATATTTCCTGAGCGTCGCTCTTAAGTTCAATTTCGTGAAATTACCATACGTACAAGTACATTACAGTCAATCAAACGGTAAAAAAGCGCCGTTACTGGCGCACTGTAACACTATACTTAGAATTATACTCATTCAGTACGTTTTTACAATTAAATTATATTACAAATAAATTTTAAGCGGTTTGCATTTCCTACGTCCAGTCAAGAATAATTGTCATTTTCAAATAGCTTAAACACTTAGTTCAACATCCTAAGAGTTCGATGGTCTGGCGTCCCTTTACCCCGAAGCCAAGGAATGGCTGGAGGATACGGACATCCTAGTCTAAACCACAACGAAGCTGAAACTAATTCATAGAACAGGATCAATTAAATTGAATGCATGTGCAATAACCATAAACCTGCATTTAACGGTAATTCTTTTACAGATATAATGGTCTTTTTCACAGTAGAGACGGATCATCCGTTAGGGTTATCCGTTAGATCATCCGTCTCAGACGGATAATGCATCTCTAGTGTGAAAACGGCTAATAAACCAGTTCCTTTCACTTCCTTTCGCGTGTCACTTCCTGCATCTCTCATACCCTGGATGATTTCTTCAACCGATTAGATGCAAGCTAAACATCAACGGAACATCAACGTTGTTTAATTCCCTTCTGGTTTTACGTCTTATTTTCTGATTCTTTGCTGTTGTTTAAATTTAGCACGTTTGTTGAACTAAATATTCTTATTCTTATAATAGCAGTAAATTATTCATTATAAATGAATTGAAGATAGTGATAGAGTATTAGCAATTGAAGCGCTGTAAACAAAGTGAAAATTATTAGGTAAACGATAAGCATTGTGTATCCTTTCAGTAGCAAAAGCTACTGACAAAAAAAGTCTAAAACCTTGTACTGTTCAATAATTTATTTTGAGGTTGACATATCGCAACTGTTGTGCTACAGTGGAACCTCGATTTAACGAACGTCTGTATAACGAAGTCCTCGGTATAACGAACGACTTTCTTAAACCCGTCCAGAATTACAGTAAATTGTTTGGAACACAGCCTTGATTTACCGAAATCCTCGTTAAAACGAACGCAATTCAGAAGCGCAATCGTAAAATATACCTCGATATAATGAATAAAAGTCAACATGTCATAAAAGGTGAAAACCAAACTGACCAAACTAGGATATGGCTATGTGAACAGTAATTTAAAGCAGTTTTGTTTGCCTGTTGTTGAGTTTCTAGTACCGCAGCTATATACATGTACACCTCGGCACAGAAATGCTGCATGTATTACAACAGTAATTGTTCAGATCCGGTAATGCTCGGTTTTGTACATTTATTATTAACTATACCTCAATATACCGAACATTTTGTTTGTTAAATCGAGGCGTTCGATATAACTAACGCATTTCCCCAGTCCCTTGGCACTTCGTTAAATCGAGGTTTCGCCGTATTCAAAATATAAATGTAAGGAAAAATTGTAGATCAAACGTTGTTCACAAATTTTAGTCGTTACTCCCTCTTTACGGTAATGCTACCCTTATCCATTGGAACATTCAGGAAATGTAAATCGTTCATGCTTTATTGACCAGTCAGCTAGTACCAAGATAGCACTAATACGACAATAATTATTAAAAAGACATCTTAGAAGGAAAAAAATGGTTGAAAGACGGACCGACAGAGGATGTAAAAAAGCGTATTACATCAAATAATTTGTTACCGCTCAAAAAGCAACCATTGCGGTTTTCAATTTTGCCTTCTAAGAATTAATTATTCACTATCTTTACAAGAAGTCCTAGTTAAAAATAACCAAATGAACAGGTTTAACTGTGAATCATTCCCATGCAACTCGTTGAAATGACAGTGGTTTTAAATATTTCTCTCAGGTTCCTTCAAACCAACAGGAAACCAAACAGGTGAGTTGCTGTTACTTATGAAGGCGGAAAGAAAACCATGATTAAACTGCACTTGTTCCGACATGCATTAGTGCCATAATTCCTTTGCTTCAGTAAAATCAGAAACGTTTGAAGGGCAATAATTGCAATATATTACAATCCACACAGTTCACAGCCCATTGGACACTATCTTCTTTATCCTCTCTTTCTACTTGTAGCTTTAGGATAGTTAATTTATATCTGTCGCTGCGCAATTGCTTACAATTATCAGCACTGCAACATTTCGTTTTAGGTTCCTCCTGTGGTAATCAAAAGGAAATTCTTCATGCTGTTTATATCACCATTATCTGTCTTTTGCTAATAAGTAACATTATTCTGATATTTGTCGTCTGCCGAATGCGCACCCGTTCAGGTAAGTGTGTTTTTATATTAAAAGCATTATTGTTTCTAATTCTTTATCGAATTCGCCACGGTTATTCAACATGCTGACAGGGGAAGATACAGTAATAAAGTCCCAATTAATATCAACCCCTTCATTACCATTCAGCAGTTGGTACAAGCCCAGTTTATATCAGTTTAGATCCTGCTGCAGAGCTGAGTGCGGCCATAATTTCGTATGTTACGTTATCACTATGGTTATTTCAAAGAAAAAGACAAACTAGATGTAGTAGACATGAATGCGCAAGGAAAAAAAATCCCTGAAAGGCTTAGCAAATGCTGCGAGGACTAAAGATACTCATGTCCTGTATTTTGTAGTGAGCTCCACAGATATATCAATAACTAGTTAATTGTCAAAGTGTTTACAAAGTTAACAAGACTGAACATATTTTGTTTCAGAAAAGTTACGGGGGAGAAAGTAAGTAACTTTCCTTATTATTATCATTATAGTTTTCTAGGATTCATCGCCCCTGCGAAAATGTAGAAAGATAAAGTATGCGGGTTTCAGCTACAAACTTGTTAAGGAAGAATTATTTTTACCACAGTCACGGACGCTACAATTTGCCGCAAACCAGGTTACTTGCCGCTGTTTTTTCCTACCGTAGGATGTAAGGTTGTATCTTATGTTTCCGGAAATGCTAGGAATCCAAAACAAAAGTTGAGTCTTACATGTATTATAAATGTTTCAACCTTACCATTCCCTTCGTCACACAGTAATTTTTAGGAAGTTGTTATAACTCCAAAAATGGAGTAAAAATTTTAGGTACAGGATGACCCCTTTTATGGGGTTACTTTAACGCCCAATTTAATTCCAAATTTGGGGTCATTATTACTCCTGAAAAAGAGTTCTTTTTACTCTTAGTCTGGGGTTAAAATAACTCCGAAAATGGGGTTATTTTTACTCCTTACATGTTTTTTTTTACTCTTTTTGGAGTTACTTTAACTCTGAAAGTGGAGTAAAAATTTAGGTACAGGATAACTCCTTTGTTGGGCTTATTTTAACTCCTCCATGTCTTTTTGGAGTTAAAATAATTCCCCCAAAATAACTCCACCGTAAGGAGTTAAATTAACCCCACAAGAGGAGATATTATAACTCCTTGAAAATTACTGTGCACATGTACCACCAGTAAAGTTTGTTTATAATGAGCGTACTATCATATATAGGCAATTAAAGATTATCGCGAAAAGCTTTTAAAATAGCGTCTCGCTGGCACAAATTTTATACTAAACGTTTTTAAGTACTATTTACTTTCTTGTCAACAGAAATTGTCCAAGATGCGGAGATCTTCTACCGATGGCAAGTTAATAAGTTATTGCTAAGCGCATTTGTGCACAACGTGTGGAATTTTGGGCGCGATGAAAAAGAACCAGTGGCATGTTACCAGGGTAGGGTGGATGGAGGGGAAAAAAATAGGTCACAGCAAAGTAAAGTATCGTTGCCTGGAGAATATGCTTCTGAGGTTCTCTTCTCTTTTTTCAGCGAATGACGGAAAGCTTGATTGGACGCTCCGTATGAAACTTGAACTCAGAACATTTCTTTACGACATTTCCCATTATGATATTTAAAACAAAGAGAATTCATCTTATTCATTCAATCATTTGTCTCTTTAATTGTATGGTTTACTGGCCTCTTTAAAAAAAGGCACTTTACACTTCAGCGTTGTTGTTTTACTGCTGAATCTTGCCTGTCTGTGTTTGACAACAGAATCCAATTGCTGTTAAAGTAGAGGGTGATACACAACCCTTCGATGTGGAGCGAACGTTTGAAGCCCCGACCTATGCATCCACAGCAAGTGCAGATTACATGCCACTTCATCCCTCAACGAGAAGCTGGGAGATCAGTCGCAGACAAGTCAACATAGTTAAAGTCATCGGTAAAGGAGCTTTTTCTCATGTTGCCAAGGCGACAGTAAACAACATGGGCGGAAGCAAGGATAACTTGACAGTAGCAGTAAAAATGCTTAAAGGTGTGGTATAACTCAGTATACTATGGCTAATAAAAGGACATTTGGGTAAGGTTGAGTCCAAAGGTAGTTCAATATACTATAATTAAGCAATAGAAAACGTTTTCCGTGTTTGCATAGCCTGATATAAACACGAGAGAGGTTGGGAGAATTCGAGACAGTTATGCAAACCCGAGACGAAGTGGAGGGTTTGCATAGCTGTCGAGAATTCTCTCAACGCCTCGAGTGTTTATATCAGGCTATGCAAACACAGAAAAAAAAAGTTTTCTATTGCTTTTATAAAATAAATTTCCCAAGAAAAAACGCAAAACTCTTTGTATGGCACTGATTAAAAGAGAAATTCTTACCAGTCGCAAAGTCTTGTCCACGAAGTCTTGCACGCGTAATCAGTTCTTGTTTTGCAAAAAGATGCTTTCCAAAATACGGACTTTTCTCGCTTAAAATGTCAGCTTAAGTGTCATTGTCTGAGAAAGTGTTCCAGGGGCTAAAAGTTGTGGTCAACTGATTTGGCTGAAACTTGGCACAGAAGTTGGGTATAATGAGATATTTCAAAAGCCACTTTGGCTCACTTCTCTGAGTTTTAGTTTTGGAGTTACAGGGGGGTCTCATTTTTTGCCCTCTGAGCACCAAACATCCAGCCTTCCAGGGGGCATTTTGAAAGTGTGATAAGACCCCACTGGTAAATTGTGCTGCCAAATGAATTTGACCATGAACTCTACTATAATAGAGCTTTCAGTTTATGCATGTAACTTTGTCCTCAAGGTATTGCACAGAGAGGAGCCTAGGGCTAGAGTTTGGCCAAAATTGATGTTAAAATTACAACCCAAAATAGCCATTTTTCAAAATTTCACTATATTCACCTGCCTTCTTGCATAACTTCCAAACCTATAACACTGTTTACTTTAGTCACCCAGTTATCAAAATCAGTTGAGAAAAATTTGGCTTATTATGGTTTATTGAATTTTTGGAACAAACACTTCATGCCCCTCTAAGGCGATGCAAAATGGAATTTTGAGCCTAATTCAGGCCATAAACAAACCAAATTGTTGACAAGAAGCCCTTATTCTGTATTTGGTAAGTGAAAATGAATTTTCAAAGCCAAATCAGTTTCGTTGTTTAGAAATTCACCGATTCTTACCTCAAAATTGATCTAAAACGGGCCTCTAATTAGCGCAACAAACACATAATTTAGCAAAACAAAGGTGATTTTATTCTTTGAAAACCTAGTAACCACCATAGAACACAAATGATGATGTTCTGATGTACATATAACAATCTTTTTACAAGATGCTTAAATTTTTCTTTGATTTATAGTCAGTATCACGTCATATTTCCAAGCATTACTCCAAGCATGGAAAGTCTCCATATTTTGTCAGGCCCATTTTTTTATATTTTTACCAGACAAATTTAGCTTATCAAAAGGTTCGTTAACATATAGACTTCGTCTGACCTTGTAATAGCCTGAATAGTTGTTTTAAATACCCATCAGCAAAGGAGCATGACCATACATACGTAGATTACACAGACATATACGAGGTTCAGTGAGCAGTATCGAGGTGAACTGTGATTTTCCGGGTCCTTTAGAGCTGAAAAAATGAAACCATCCATCCACGGTTAGGAGAGCTGGATAACAAAAAGCTTGTTTTACTTTTATAAAGAAAATAACCCAAACAAAGCCTTGCATTGAGGTGATGCACTTGTTATTACATCAAGTTAGCTGGCCCGCCATTTTGGACTTGAAGAGTGTGGGGACTGGACCGAGTTCCCGTCCAGTCCTTCTCCCGTTTCGCGGGAATTTTTTCTGTTTTTCATCAGGTGTGTTCGAAATTCTAGAAAGCGATCTGTTTCAGGATAATTTTTCGATGGCACTTTATTACTTTGGAGGGGTAAATGACCAGTGCAGTGTCACGTCATGGGCTGTGCAAGAAACAGGAATGCTTATTTTGTTGTCTTGCGATAGTGACATGACTGCATGGTTAAAGCACAAGTAGAAGGGTTCAAGTCTGTCCGGGGAAGAAGAGGAAGAACTGATGATGCCAAAGCTACAGGTGATTCAAAATATCAGTTAGGGATCATATACGCGCACAAATGGCATTTATCGTGATCTAGGGCACTCTTCTGACTGAAGAGAGATTTAGAGACGACGATATGTAATTTACGATATTGTCGTCTCAAATTGTTTGTTTATGGTTGATTGATTCCCATGTTAATATCCTGGGTCCTTAGGAAGAGCACTAAACATTCATCAAATTTGTCCAAAAAAAAAACAAGTACGATAAGAATAACTTGAAGGCTGTTTTTAGTCTGCTCGAGCTGCTTGTTTACATTAAGCTTGTCACGTGCACACGCTTATCAAGCAATGCACAATTCAGTTACCGGTTTCCATTATTTACCCTCTTCGTCAAAGATCTTTGCAAACATGCTGCATCTAAGTTTTTCGACGAAATTGACATTTTCAGGGAGAAAATGTCACTAAAACGTCGTCTCAAAATCGACCGAATTAGTTGATATTATCGGATTTGCTTGGAATAATGCATAGGCAATGAACACTCATATGTCGTACTTGAATCGGAACAGACTCTGAATCGTTCTGGAAGAGCACGGAAGATTTGTGTATATTTGTAGAAAAAATTGTTTCATTATTTAATTAAAAAATTATTTAAAATAATGTTAACTATTCAATTAAAAGAATAATGAAAAAATATACCCAAATAAGAGTGTTATCTGCTAAAACTCTCTAAAATTCCCTAAAAAAACTCATAAAATTTTTATTCTTTTTTGATAGCGAGGGCCTCTTTTGGTGAATAACCGCTGATTAGTTGTAGTGTAGATGCCTCTGATGAAAAACTGCTGATTTGTTGTGCTCAGTGAACAGTACTCTAGACACTGTTGTAGCATGTGGGTGGACTGAGCCCTCTCTTGGTTGGTAGGTATACAGAAAAATAAAAACGTTTTTTTCAACGTTTCTGCCTGTGAAATGTTGCTATTCAGTATTCTCCTATATATACTGCTATTTAAGTTCTAGTATTTGTCAATTTTTTTCTAATATTCTTGAGATTTTCTAAAATTTTTCTTCGTGTCCAAAATTCCCAAAACAATTCCTGCGGAATTATGTAGCTAAGCCCATTTTAATTTGGTTTGTCTTCGACGAAACAGGCAAATAAAGGAGACCGGTGGAGTTTCAATGCAAGCTGGCTCGAATTGTGCATTGCCAAACTTAGCCTTGCTTAATAAGCGTGCCCACGTGACAAGCTGAATGTAAACAAACAGCTCGAGCAGACAAAAAACAGCCTTCAAGTTATTTCTATTATTGTTATTGTTATTCTTTTTTTAATAAAGATATTGCTGCGATGAGTTTGTTGAATGTTTAGTGCTCTTCATAAGGACCCAGGAAATTAACATGGGAATCAATCAACCATGTGAACAAACAATTTGAGACGACAACATCGTAAATTATATCTCATTGCTTTCTTCAAGCAAAAGAGTCCCGTGCACTGCGATAAAAATCATTTGTGCGCGTGTATGATCCCTAACTGATATTTTGAATCACCTGTAGCTTTGGCATCACCAGTTCTTCCTCTTCTTCCCCGGACAGACTTGAACCCTTATACTTGTGCTTTAACCATGCAGTCATGTCACTACCCCAAGACAACAAAGGAAGCATTCCTGTTTCTTGCACAGCCCATGAAGTGACACTGCACTGGTCATTTACTCCAAGTGGAGTAAAGTTTCACCCAAATCGGTTGACCACAACTTTTAGCCCCTGGAACACTTTCTCAGACAATGACACTTAAGCGAAAAAAAATTGACACACTTTCTTAGTAACGATTTTCCAAGTTTCACCCGACGAAGGAATGGGTAAATAAAGTGAACTTGTCGAGTTTTGAACTTGAAAACTTTTTCAAATTCGCGCTTGCGTGATTAGCGCGCGAAAAGCCAAACAACTTGACGCCACAACCATGTTTACATACTCTCATGCAAACGCTCCTCTCAGCCAATCAGAGCGCGCGTACTACCTTAGTTATTTTATAATTGAAGGACATCTCGTTCAGTTGGACGGTTTCGATACATACAAAACTAAAAAGACCAAGCACACAGAGAAAATTGAAAAAGGCTCAACACAGCAAAACGAGTACCGCAATGTAGTAACGGTAAAAAATAAGTATTTTTTTTGGATGCTTCTGTTTAGCAAATGCTCCAGCTTCAGATAAAAAGGACCTTCTGTCAGAACTTGAGTTGATGAAAAAACTAAAACCTCATCCCCACGTGATCAAGCTGTTGGGCTGCGTCACAGAAACCGGTAAGAGATGTGTTGAGGCAGTAAAGTTTCAGTTTCTTGAAATTTGTGTCATATACTTTTTGCTGCTGATGATTGTACTGCCAATTATTCGAATGATAGAGCGTTTTAATATGGCCAGAAGTTGTCGGTGCACGTTAATTGGAATAAAAGCAAACGTTTACATTACAAAAGTGTACAATTATTTCCACAGAACAGTAGGTTGGAACACCAAAGTGGCCGTCGTTCCATTGTTGTTGAAATAATAATACGGTCAAACCCAGTTTAAACGGACACTGAGGGGACCTTAGCGTCCGTATTAACTGAGGGCTTTGTTTCCCCAGGGACAAAGCAAACTGCCCGTAATAATGAAGTGTCCACATTTAGCGGATGTCTGTAAAGCGGGGTTTCACTGCAATTCAGGGCAATTTATTTTCGGGTTTCGTTTCTATTTCCTAAATTGCATCAAAACTGCGATGGTTGACCTCCATTAACATTTTGTATTGTCGCAGTTCACATCATCTTCATTTAAAGGTACTAAATTCATAGTATGTCCCTTCGTACGAACAAAATCATCAATATTTGCTGGAAGAGTGGATCGGAGAATTTCTTCATGCTTTATCACAAGTGGGAACTCAGGCTTGAAGAATTTCCTAATTGTATTGGCTTCCTTAGAGCCGGTGTTGGTTCTTATTGAGTACGTACCGTATGGTGACCTACTGGGCTATTTGAGGAAGAGTCGAGGACTGAACGACACGTACTTTAAGGACCCGGATATGAAGCCACAGACCAATCTTCAAGCAGAACAGTTAATGAAATTCGCTTGGCAGGTCGCAGATGGAATGGGTTACTTATCCTCAAAAAAGGTTTGCTTTAAATATGATCTAAGCTAGAAGTAATAATTTGAATATATAAATTTCAAATAAATCTACTAAAGAAGTTACATAAACGATGTTGTCCAGAGATACCTATCCTGTGAGTGTGAAGGGTCCAGGCTCGTTGTGTGAGTTTGTTGACAAGCAGCTGAGGCCATTGGTACCAGCCTTTTTTGAAGAAGCAGAGCGAGGTGCTCAACTTGTGTACCTTGTGATATGCGTTATTTTGTGTGAGTGGTGTAATCGGATGATATAGTCACTGCTCCTCTCAGAGTTGAGCGCTATATATATATATATATAACAATTATTCACCGAAGTGGAGGTGGGTAGTCCTGGATATTTACCGAACTGCGAAGCAGTGATGTAAATATCCACGACTAGCCACCGACACTGAGGTGAATAATTGTTTTAGTATATACTAAAACAGTGAGATAATTGAGCACAAAAATGACGATTTTTAACTCAAATACTGTTGCCAACGATTACAATTTTGGCGCGTAATGACCGGGCGGCCGCGGCCGTCGCTTTTTCTTGCCGACAATTAAAACTTTTGAAGGCATTTGTTTAGCTCTTGCGGGAAAATTTCTTCAAAAGGAGTTGTGAATTCTTTTTGTATTTAAAATCATTCTATAAAAAAAGNTCTTCTTTGCTTTTGCGCTACGCGTTTCACCGCTGTTGCGGCTCTTCAGGCATAGCAAAGTGTTTTTATTAACTTATTACGTCACAGACGTAATTGTAATTACAATTATAATGGCTCTTGTAATTCGTAGCACGCGCGAGCAATTAGCGTAATTTCAAATCATTAAGAACGGGTTTATATTTCAGAATAAAAAACCTCTCTTTGTTTTTTCTCATGCTCTCGGAGGGGCTGAGAATCTTGTAAAACGGAAAGATAGTAAACTGAGGAGTCAATCCCGCATATCGATGAATGTGCGGTGGGATTGACTCCTCAGTTTACCACTTTCTTTAAGTGCTTGCTGGTAAGGAGCAATTGATTCGTCAAAATCTTCTTTGCTGGATGAGATGTTAGTTAGCCGTTTGTTGATGTTGAGTGGTATGTTTTTTAGT